GTAGCAAGCTTCTTTAGGTGGACACCAGCCACCTTTCAGCCAGCGTCGACCCATGGATTGCCTGGTATCGTTTACTCACCTTGCTTGCCACAAGTGTCATGACGACGGATTGGGCGATCGGCTACGTTGACTGAGGCGATGCTAGTTCTGGCAAGGCGTCAAGCAGAGAGATAGTCAGTGCCTCTCCATCGCCTCGGACAGTCTATTTGCAGCACAGACCCGCGCCATCACGAGCTCCGCTGTGGGAGCGGCACGCAAGGCTCACGGGGGCAGGGATTGGGCTGTCAATCAGCTGGGTCACTAGAAGAAGTGATTCATGCCGAGTTGGCCAACCACCGCCGCCAGAGCTTCGTCTGTGAATCTCTCAGGTTCAACAGCCTTGCTGGATCGACGACTAGCGTACGGAGGGGCAGGGCACAGGCATCGAGCGGTGTTCACCTCGTCTTGCCATTTGAAATGTCGGGACCTCACGAAGCAGGAGTGTCCCGGCGGGAAAAGTCGGTGTCTGCTGTCTGAACCCAAGAACCCGAACACGTTGGTTTCGCAGCAAGGAAGAAGCCAATTCCAGATTCCTGGGGGAAAGGACACCCTTGACAGCGCCTAACCACCGCTGCGCCCCGCTATCTTCAACAACCACACTCCACGTAATGTCGATGGCGGAGACAGTCAACAGACAGACACAGCCCGCGGTGACATATTCTCATGGCTCCAGAACAGGCCTTTTCTTTTTGCTTGTCCTCTTCCTCTCAGCTGGTTCGGGTCTTGGAGGGGCCTCAGTTTGCCTCTTCCCAGGTTCTTGTCACGTCTGGGTCAGAGAATGCCACCAGGAGTACCTGTTAGCCGCCAGCCATGTCTAAGTCACCTCTAGCTCGTCAATGGAGGTGGTGCCCGAGGAACTAGCTGCTCATTAGCTCCCAAAGCACCCAAACTTGCTTCGGAAGCTACCTCACCGCGTTGCTCCCAACATCGCATCCAGCCCCGACATGATCTCAAGGACATGTGCACGAAAACTTTACGGATAATGGCCGAGAGTCTGCCCACCAGTCGCTGCTGCTCGACATGATGCTGTCTGGCCCATCCAAATCACGCAGCATCATGCGGCAGATCTCCCGCAGTCTACAGGATCTAATCTCGATCACCGACACTCGGGGGTCCACTGCCATCTGGCTCACTTCTCCGCCCCCAGGAACAGGTATTCACCTGGCTGGTGCCCAACGACTGGCCATATCAACAGTTACAATCAGGGCGGTGGGAGTTCACATGCATGGCTACCTTATTTTACGTACTTGAGTGCGGCGTTTGCAAGCTTGCGTGTGTCACGTCGCCAGGAGACAGCTACTCGAGCTGACCAACTGAAACGGACGATCGACTGGCTTGCAGCGGCCGCCAAACGGCCGCTGACTAGCATGAGCACCTCACCACCAAACGCACCCTCCTCTCCATACAACTGGAATTCCAGATGCCCATCTGTTGACCGCACATGTGGAACCGAACTTAATCAGGCGTCAGCGACGCGTCCCTGGACTGGTCCAGAACGAGGTACAGTTGCAAGCAACCTTCCGTCTGAAATATGTGCATGATGATGGATCTGCCGGGCTCTAAGCATGAAATCGGATGGCGCATCGCTTGCGCCTCGCGAGCCAACTGAGATGCGAGAAGGTCAGCATGGTGTCACAAGCCCGTATGCACCCCTTTCCCTGACCGCTCCTCGTTCCACCGACCCTGCAGCTTGCCATTCAAACACACCGAGACTGTGCGACTGTCTGCTGCTCCTTTCGACGGGGTCCGCAGTAGTCGATGCGGTGATGGCCCGTCAGCTTGTCTTCCTATGAGAACGGCACAGCGAATGACCCAAGAATCTGATTCGACCAGAGACAGCGGGTTCAGAGAGAGACAGCCTTCTCGGGTGACACAAAAGCTGTAGTTCGGAGGTTATCAAGTGCGACTTGTCAGATCTCAAACCTGGTCTCTGCTTACGAGACTCCCTTATCATGGCCGTATCGAGTAATCATCAACTTCCGAGGCCGCCGAGAACCCCCGGCGGGGTGCAGCAACCAACTTCAACGCAAAGTCGGTTTTCTCTATCCAATCTGATGGTGGCGCATTCCTGCCCTGAATCAGCTCAGTCATCCGTCCACTTGACCTGGCAGGTGATCCATCGCCGCGACGCCTTGACGACATTGCCTACCCCTGATTTGTGGGTTACACCATCTAATCGCCAATGTCTCTCTCTTCCTCTTCGTATTGGTGTCCTCATGTGAAGCTATCAAACTCTGTACCAAATGTTGCCTCGCGAATCCAGGCTGCGACCGCGTCCGTCACGCACCTCGTTTCCGTCTGTGAGACTCGACACCATCAGGCCCGTCACCCAAAGCCCGGCAACGAGGCAGCCCTAAGGCAATGAGTTACTGCAGCCCTGAGACGCCGTGCACGACAGATACCACGTCTTGTACGCCGTCGTCCCCGGCCGGCTGTGCGAGGTCATTGCGACATACTTTGTGGGTGGCGTTGGAAGGCTTGCTTTGCAGAGAAGGCTAGTTGGCCGACTTCATCTCCCGGGCGGGCATCATACATCGGACGCCGATTCCGTGATACTCCGGACCGCCGTCATGAGGCATCGACGGACGAACTTTTGCCTTGTTCCTTTTCCCCCCTTCGCTCTTCTTCCTTCCCAGGCTACATACACAGTGGCGTACGACCCCAGACCCTGCCGGGCGGCGCAAACGCATGCCCCCTGCGTCCTTGTTTCTCTGACGCAACTAATCATTTCTTATTCCAGTTTCTTCTCGTCCAGCTTTGACGGTCTCAGCATCATGCGCGGTAAACCAAATTGAACTGCTTCTTTTTTTTTTCGACGTCTTCCGCCCCGCGGGCCTACTTGCCTTTGCGAAAGCACGGCCGGGGTAGGCATTCATGGAGATCCTGGGGGAGGAGATGACGGGGAAGTGGCGTCGGCGTGCACAAGCTTCATGTCGCCAGCCGTCTTGTCGCGACCTCGCGAGGAGCTGACTTGTGTGTGCCTGCCTCACCGGTTTTCCAGGTCGGGGGAGGCTTGCATCTGAAGGCGCCTGTGAGGCGCTGGGAGCTGGTATGCAGTGTCTCGGATTTATGGCTGGGACTTCTTTTGCTGGAAGACTGCAGCGAGACCAGACCAGACCGGCCGACCTGGACCCCACACCCAAGAGGATGAATAGCGTCGTTTCTTGTGAGGTTTGGTCCTGCGGGGTCAATGGTATCACGAGGCGGGGGGCGATGCCGAAGCAGCAGCAGAACAAGTTCACCTCAGCCTTTCTGGCGTGATATCTTTGACACTTGCGACGGGGCTGAGGTCTTTAGTTTCGAGATGTGTTCTAGACTTGATCTGGGAGGTGTTCATCGACGTCCTTGGGAATCCCTGTTTCCATGGCCGCGGGAAATCAAATGCCTTCCATCGTCACTGGGCCTTGGCAGTTCGTCCGTCCGCGCAGCCCGGGACGATGGACGGAAGGGATGGAGAGGATTTCCCAGCCCAGCCTCTGCGGGAAGGAACAGACGGCGTTTAGGCTTTTGGTGGGCTGGATGGGGATGGATGGGGGGATACTGAGAAAGAGAGGCTTAGGCTGCGGTCTGAGCTTCTTTTCCCTTACAGAAACAGGCTGTTTTGCAGCGTCCAGTCTGCCGGGTTGATCCTCTTGTCGAAACGAACGAACGGTGGCGTGAGCTGAACCGAGCTTCTTTCCCTCTGGGCTGGGCGCCGTTTTGCTTTTCCTTCTTTTTACAAATTGTTTGCCGTCCGGGGTGATGGCTGCTTGCTTTTGCAGTCCGTCCAGGCTTTCTTGCTTTTGGGTCCTGTTTCTGGGACTGCAGCAGCTTCTTCCCATGTCTTCAGGGCCGCAGCATCTCGCCAGGGAAGTTTAAGTCCGTGAGATCAGTCATGATGTGCTTCGGCTGTAGCCGCATGCTGCATGCTTCCGCACCACCATCTTGTTTTCCTTTTTGCCTTCCGACACCAGTTGTGTTGGGGGGAAGTTTGGGTTCAGCTGATGTTATCGGCCGGCGTATGCTAGTGATCGAGACGGACAGACGTCATTGCTTTTTTGGAATTGAGGGAAGGAACGAGGGGCAAGGTGGTGCCTGGGAAAGAGCCGGCTTCGGGGAGTAGTCGGGGAGCAGTCGGGGTTTTTGGGTGGAATGGGGGGTGTAGGATGTCAGCAGCGATGGAGGGGACCGGCGGCAGGCTAGGCAAGTGCGCTCGGTTTTGGGCTGTTTGGCGGCGGCCGACGGGATGGAGGGCACGGTTGTGAGAGACGGCTTGGGGGGATTTTGGCGTTGGACACGTGTGGGATGTCTGTGCGATGATGGACGATCTGGATTGTGGCAACTGGGGGTTGTGTTGGACAGGTGGCATGTGAAGAAGAAGAAGCAGTGTTTGATAAGGCTTTGAGGATGTGTACTTGAGGGTTGAATAGATGGAAAGTTCTGTATGATGATATCTAAAGGGCATTGACACAGACACTGTCAATCAGCCGTGAGGTTCTGTCAAGGGGCCTTGAAGTGTTCATTGGAGTCCATGCCAGAATCAAAAGACATCTAATTAGCAGTGTCAGTTAGTTATCCGGACAGTGTCATTCCTCTATAGTTTCAATTAGAATACACGTCATGCTTGGATTAGGACGATAGCAATAGAAAACATAAAAGGGGCAGTTGTAGTAATGATGACGATGAATAACGATTATAGACGACGACGATAGACGACGACGATAGATAGTAATTAATAGTAACGACGGCGTGTGTGGGGGACTGCGTGGCTAGCAAAACTCACATTGCATATCACGATACGAATAACCTTGACATTATCTGTGAACATTGGTGGCTTGTGGAAGCCAAGGTAGGAATGTGAATAATGGTTCTTTGAATCTTTTGTTGGATATTTGGGAGTCCAGGACGTTATTGTGTTTCTACTTGGTCACGCAGTAGCTTGGGAAAAGATTGGTGTCATTAGAAGAATAGTACCGTCTTACCCTCCTTCTTCATAAAGTCGGCAAAACAAAGTGGGCTTTCCATATCAGGGTCCTTTTGCTCCCAGATCATCTCCAATAGTCTCTGAGTGTCTCGAACGCTTTGCGTTGCATACATCAACGACAGCTCCTCTAGCCGTCTGCTGATGAAATTCTTTTGCTCTGTAGATTTGGCAAATGATCCAAAGATGGCCAGTGGCCAGCACATACTGGTCGAGATGGGAGAGTCAGTTGGGACCATCTTCAGAAAACGGATGAAATCGTCCAGAGTCTTCTCCGTCAAGCTCAGGTCAGACCCCCGACTTGCCATACAGCCTGTATCACTGTCCAGGGCAGACTCCAAGTACACCAGCAAGGTCTGTTGATACAGTTGTCCACATAACCTGTAAACCTCGTCATTCGAGCGAGGCTGCCACGACAGTATGATTGAACGAAGCCTCCAGCACTCGATCACGGCTTCACCCAAACCTATCCCTCGCCGAAGTTCGTCTCGTGTTCTTCGAGCTACCACTGACACCGTAGGAACGAGGCCAAAAAGTTCGTGCACACAGCCAGACGTAAAATGACTTTCTGGCTCGGCTCTGGACGTAGGGAAAAGGTGCGCAATGTCTTCCTGCACCCACAGGTCTGATTCCTGTCCCATACTGATGTGGGCAAGAGTCATGATGTAGGCGTATCTTTCTTTGAGGAAGGCTCGAGTATCAGGCCCGAGCTGAGAGTTGGATAGGCTTGATGCCTCATGAAGAAGTACGCGAACGGCTTTCAGATGAGACAATGCTTGAGCTCCTGCGTTGAGTCTGAATGTCTGAAAGAGGGTCAGTTTACGTTTTGTATAAAGCTAATCTCTGGTTTGGTATGGATGAAGGAAATCATAGAGGACGATGGTCACAGAGACCGACGGTCAAATGAGGTTGAAGAATGCTCGAACATACCTCGGTAGCACATAGAATGATGGCGGTCACCAACAGCGGCACAAGAGGCTCTTTGTCTCCCTGAGCCATCAAAGTCAGCCCGAATTTCTGGCCCTGGATCGCCTGGCCGTAATGTACCCATGTCAATTGGTCAACTGGAAGTCCAGCGAGATCTGCTTGGTGAACACCACTCAGTGCCAGCAAGGCATGCAGAATTAGATCGTTCGACATGGCCATGGGGACGAGCTCTGCCAGAAATGGGTTCCTGTTGCCTTGGCAAACGGCCATGGCTTTGTTCGTGCGGTGGGCATAGTGATGAAAAAGATTGCGAGACTCCTGGGATATCATAGGTCCCCTTGCTGAAAGAAGATCAACGGATCTTTGGAGGGTGCCAAAAGTTTCATCAAGAGACCTTTTATGGTTCCCTTCATCCTGCTTGGAGCCGGCGAGGGCGACGAGATTTGGTCCTTCGGTCCGCGAATCTGCTATCGCAAGGTTTGGTCTGGATGACCTGGAGCGCCTGCGTGTGGGATTTGTTCTCCGCAAGAGCTGGGCGTGCTCCTTGTTGTCAGCTTCAGGCCATGTGCATAGGATAGCATTGCGCAAGCAATTGGAGCAGTGAGGCTTCTCTTCGTTGCACTTCTTACGACGTAACCTACAGCCGATACAGCCGGTTACTGATCGCCTGCCCTTGGAACTCGGCGTCGATTGTTGTACCATTGCAGATTTGGTCGGTTGATCGTGGTCACCACCGTCAGATGGTGTTATCGTTGAGTTTCTGGGGAATATGTGGGGTGCATATCACAGAGGTTATCGCCAGCTTCCCGGTAATCTTCGGGCGATAACGAATGAGCATCTTCGGGGTTGGCGTTGACCGGACCCACAGAGATAAGAGGCTTCTTGGAGATTGGTACCGAGCCAAACCCCGGTATCTCCAGCTTTCTTACAAAATGGATGGTAAGGTTTGATACACAGGTAGTTTAATTTGCTACTACTCTGGACTTGGTTTCTCATGACAAACGAAACCCTTGATCTTGATACAATACTCTGACCAGAAAAAAAAACGTCTGGCATTTTGTTACACAGAGACCAAGTGACATGATCACCCCTCCATTTTGAATTTCGTAATTCAGTGTGCCGTGTCCGAATTCCACCCATATTCATGAACCGCAGGATTACTAACCCCCTTGCACTTGGAAGCCTACTAGAACGGGAACTTGCTCGGCAGTTGTCCGTCTTCACACATTCCGCTTTTAACTTGCTTCTTATGGAGATCATCTAGGTATGGTAGAAGGACATCGGCATAAAGGTGGCGACCCTTGTGGCTGCATGATGAGCATCACAGGTCAGCTGTCAGTTAGCAAGTGATATGGAAAAAGGTGTACTTACAGGGCCAGTTCATCATCCCAGCTACGGACGAAAGACGCCAAACGCCCCGGAACACCTGGCTCCTGGACGAATTTGACAAGAGGCTCAATGTACGTGTGAACCATCCACACAACTGCACCAGACCGTGGGAGCCGCCGCAAAGTTTGACGCTCTTGGCGGAACCACAGCTGAGAAATGTCCTTGACTGGACTCGGCGGTTTCCACTTGCCGTAGCTGGAAGTGCTGATTCCGGGACCGCGGAGTTCTGGATCCCAGTCGTCCTCCGGTCCCATAGTTAGAGCAGGCCAGTGATATTCGTCTGTTGAGAGTTAGAGACGGCAAGTAAGCACACTGTCGAAGCCGCAGAAGTAGATGCAGAGTTGGGAGCAGACTCACCATGTATCGAGATAGAAGTGGCTGGTGCAAGTCAGTACCTGTGTAACACAAATCAGAAGGGGTGATCTTACTGTTCCGTTGGATTGGACTCTCAAACTTGAGCTTGGAGAGGAAGCTAAAACGAATCTGTGAGATTTTGCGATGTGTAAGCTGCCGTGAAAGGACTTACTGATCAAGTGGCCGCTGGAGCTGCTCCTTGTAATGCGGAACATGGCCCGAGAAGTGAAGATCTGCTAGCGTTTTGCCAACTTGCATGATGTCAGCAAAGTCTGACTGACTGATTGAGGGTCATGACTTCAAAGAGTCTTACTCTTGTCCTTGATTCTCTGCCCCCCTTTCCGAAAGATTTATTAGCCACAGCCTTGATATGGCATCAAGGTGGTAACTAACCTCCGATCCCAAGCATCATGGCAGCAAGCTGATAATAGCCATCGGTACCCTTGACCAGGATGTTGATGTCAGCTGGTTGGATGAGGCCAGCAACCTGTTGTTGTTAGTCAACTCGCAAGCGCTATGGCATAGGAAAAAGGGCAATGTACTGTCAAAGGGTCATGTTTGCTCAAGTCATAAGCGGCCCCCATAACTGGCATCTCAATTTCGGTAATCAAACCCAGTCCATACCAGCCTTGCGTATTATCTTTAGCGCGCGTAATTCGGTACACTGAGGGATACCGTCGAGAGAGAAACTCAGCCAGATCTTGACAAAGCTCCCATGCTGCATCGCGAGCGACAGGCATGGTTTGAACGATTTTGTCTCCACGATCCGCCAGACGACGGACCTTTGTTTGGAAGTACCGTGGCCATTCATTGTCCAGCTAAGAAAGAGAGGTTAATGAGCATCGTGTTCAACCAATCCACCGGAGGCACTTACAAGAACCAAAGAATCCTTGTCCAATTTTCGAACATCCACTGTACTGGAGTAGGTGATCAATGAGCCTTATATTATATCACATATAGGCATAACTTGATACAACGTACTGTCTCAAGTAGGAGTAACGGAACGCCCGGAACTTCGGTGGCATGGTCGTTGCCATGTCAAATGCGTGGTCGGGGGAAGGTTCTGGATACACCAGAGGCTCTTTGAGACGGTCAGCACTGGACTTGGACTGATTGCCAAACAAATAGAAGGGCAAAGTGAAAGAGTCACTACTTTGATCTGTAGGCATAGCAGCCGGCGTCTGTCCGACGCGTCGCCTCTGCCATCGTAGCAACGCCACGAGGACGCATGCGAAGAATGACAGAGACCAAATAAAAACCATGTCGAAGGTAATCGTGGCTTCAGAGGTAGAAATCAGACTTGAAGCGTACTAAAGAGAATAATAATTATGGTCATCGCCACTCAATACTTATTTGTATCTTCCGAGCTCTCAGTCGCCCAGGGCAATTAATACATGCAAGTAAACTGGCGTGGACCGGCGGATGCTCACTGATATTCGCGCCTAACAGTGAAGGGGCAGGGTTCCAGCTGGGTGGGAATATTGCATCGATCAAATCCCTCTTGTTCGTTTGTCTGTGGGTGACCCGATTTGGTAGGTATGCCGTCTTTGTGACGGGGGATCCTAGCGGACATATCGCGGGGTTGCAAGCACGCACCCCGCAAGTCCCGCATTTCAGCAGACAAAGATAAGCGCGCCTTATTTATTGTTCAGATCCGTGATAGCGAATTGTCATTTTTGGTGACGCATACCAAGTTGGAGATAAGCGCGCCTTAGCCAGAATCCGACCAGTACGGACAATTGGAGTTACAACCTCAAGTTAAGCGCGCCTTAAGGAGTCATGTCAGCATCAAGCTGAAGTGGGCTTTGCAGGCTAGTAGGGCTTAGATTCTGCCGGTTCTGATAGCAGCAAACCATTGAACATCAGTGATATAATAATGTAGGAGTTCGTCGCCTCATCCGTCGCAGTATATCAGATCGATGGTGTCCTGAGAATTGGATGAACTCAAGACTCAGCCGTCTAAGATCACATCACATTCGCAAAACTTCAACCGGATTCGCAACTCTCAACATGATGGATGACGAAAAGAAGGGAGCAAACGCTCCGGACCTTCATGACTCTAGCTCTGTGAGCTTCTTCGTCTAGCTCCTCGTGCAGAATACGAAAGCTGACCGATGGTGATAGTTGCTGAACGACCGAGGCCAGATTTCTGCCATTCAACTTTCCGAATATGGAGTTCATAGAGGGTTGCATTCGCATCACATCCAATTACTGGCAATTTCTGGGGTCATTGGAACAGGTGAGTTGACATAGAAATTCAACCAACTAGGGCATAGGTGTCATGGTCAAAATATGAATCCGCGCAATGACTGACAATCCAAGGTCTTTTCGTTGGCACATCGGGCGTGCTTAGTAGTGCTGGACCCGCTGGCCTTCTCATCGGATACTCCATTTGGTGAGGAAATCGCATAGCATAGGCCCTTTCCCCATGGCCTGACTTCTTATAGGTGCATTTTTCTTCTTTGCATTGCTCACGCCATGGGAGAAATGTCGGCATTTTTACCTGTCCCAGGCTCATTCGTCACACGTAAGGGATATGCTGTTATCCACACTGACCCTACGGGATAACTCAACATCTTAGACATTGGACGGTTCGTTGATGAAAGTGCCGGTGTGGCCATGGGATGGGTGTACGCATACAGGTAATGGTTCCGTTGTGAGGTCAAATGTCAGCATGCTAACTCTACCCGAATTCAGCATGTGAGTAACCTTAGCACACCAAGCAGAACCTGATAACGTGACCTTAACATGATTTCTTTTCTCAGGATGTAAGTTTTGGACTGGGTAAACGCGGGGATCTTTGAGCTGATAATTTTCTCTGCAGGATTTTCACCGCCGCCGATTGCACCGCCTTGGCTGGCCTTTGGTCTTACTGGTTCCCGGATATCAACCCCGGCGTCTGGGTAGCCTGCACATTAGGAGTCGTTTTCGTTCTCAACTGCCTTGCGGTCAAGTACTTTGGTGAGGTAGAGTTCTATGCTTCAATCTTCAAGATCTTCCTGATCTTTGGTTTTCTGCTGTTCACCTTCGTCGTTGTCCTCGGCGGCAATCCTAAACACGACCGCATCGGCTTTAGATACTGGAGAGACCCTGGGGCTTTCAACGAGACATACGCAACGGGAACCACAGGCCGATTCTTATCCATCTGGGGGGTCTTCAACACGGCGGCTTTTGCCATCGGCGGCCCTGACTTCATTGCCAACTGCGCATCGGAGGCCGTCAACCCGCGCCGCAATATCCCCAAAGCTGTCAGGCGTGTTATCTATCGGTTGATCTTCTTCTTTATTCTCTCAGTCTTCGCAGTTGGGCTGCTAGTACCGTACAATGACCCCACCATGCGTCAGTTCTAATGTTTGTCACTCGACGATGTCTCCACAATGCTGACACTAGTCTCAGTCACGGCCATCGCAAGTGGCAATGGAGTTGCCAAGTCGCCTTTCATCATTGCAATGAACAGACTTGAAATATCTTTCCTTCCTGATCTTTGTAATGCAGTTGTGTAAGAACAGTTTGCACCTTTGAGGATAGCATCGCTAACGTCTTATTCTCAGCATCACATCTGCTTGGAGTTGTACAAACTGTCTCCTTTTCCAGGCTTCACGAACCGTATTTGGTCTCGCCAAACATGGAAGAGCACCCAAACTCTTTGCCAAAACAACAAAGACAGGAGTTCCCATTCCGGCATTGGTCCTGTCTACCACCGTTGCTTCTCTTGCCTTCATGACTTGCAATACAGCTTCTGCTGTCGTTCTAAATTGGTTTATCAATCTGGGATCCACAGCTATCATGATTGCTTACATTCTCATGATGGTGAGCTTCGATGCACTGGATTGATGCTTACTACAAATTGCTAATTCGTGCAGGTGGCAAACCTTCAGTTTCATAAAGGCCTGGTGGCGCAGGGAATCGATGCCGCAAGTCTTCCTTTTAGAAGCAAGTTAACACGTGAGTACAATGTCCTGGACCTTTGAAATATGACACTGATAGTTTTCAAGCCTACTCCAACTACTTCGCCATCTTCTGGGTCGGCATTATCCTGCTTACGAATGGCCATGGCAAGTCGAGACCGGACAACCTCTAGGAGCGTATTTCTGACATGTCACTAGGAGTTTTCATCAAGGGCCATTGGAGTTTCTCTGGTTTCTTTACGGCATACTTTACGCTTGTGTTTTTTCGTATGCTTTCCACTCAGACTGATCATGGACTCATGTTTCAGTCTTCGATGTTTCAGTAGGAACGGAGACTGACGCTCTTAGTGATCATATTCGTTGGTTGGAAAATAGTAAAGCACACGTCAATCGTCAAGCCCGAGGACATGGACTTCAGGACTGGACTAGCTGAAGTTGAAGCGCATGAGGCTGCTTTGGTTATCAAGCCCCCGGCGACGCGTTATGGGAGGTAAGCTTGTTCAAATCACAGGTATCCCGACCGCAGCTAATAGGCTAGATTTATGGATTGGTTATGGTGAGAGCCGAGGAGGGATAGGGATGTGCTGCACTCCATTAGGCCTGTACACCTGAGCACATAGCGCACTTGAATGCAACTTTGAACGTCGGTGTATGTACTCGTGCTATGTATCATTTTGTGCTGACTGCAACCTCGGAGAGTGGCGTTTGCATCGAGATGAAGATCGTCGTTTTTCACCCAAGGTAGTGACAAGCAATGATCGTCGAATTGAATCGCCGACCATTCCGGCCAAGGTTATGGGAGAAAGGGGATTAGCACCGTCTTGGACTGCCCAGAGAAGTTCCGGTGAGTCTTATCCCCTAGCAAGTTGGGATGCAAAAGCAGGGATACTAGGTGGCCCTGCTGCAGCGCAACGGGAATCGGAGATCCTTTCGCAAGCATCGAGTTTGGACCGCGTGCACTGTCTTCACAGCGTTTTGTCGGGGGTTTTAGAACGGGGGCTAGTCCGATCTTAATGGTCAACTATCATCCTCTAGGGCATCGAATGCGTTGTCTTGCCGCCTGAAGAAGTGTGCCTTGGGCCCTCTGAGAGTAGTCTGCTTCTGTCAGATTTACAATTTTGACGCAAGTCAATGACTCTCACCCAGCTGCAACCTCTTAGCTGCATCCACTGCGGCCGTGGGGCAGACGTCTCAATGGCACCTTCGGCAGGGCTATTTATGCGCCTGGCTGAGCAAACTGCAGACAGTGTGTTGGTTGGCAGTGACAATTGGCACATAGGCCCTACAGTGGCACGAAATCCCAGCCGCTTTCTCGGCTCTCATTCGCTCTGAAGCAGCGGTGATGTGTCTCTTGCAGGCATAACGTCCGTCGGTGAACATGCCTATTCATTGGCCAGAGTTCGGGTGAGGGGTCGGCCCACCCTGCATTTAAATACATCCCGCGTTCCAGGACACCGTTTTGGGTCGCGTTGGAACCATCTCGCGCTGACCCAGCTTGTTGGTTCAGCCTCATTCCACATGGACGACCTCAGCATGGAGGACGTCGACAACTTCGATGTCGCACATGCGGTGGAACATGCCACTTGGCCTAATAACGTGCCCGATCGCGAGGTCGTCATCGAGGCTGACGATCAGGTGATCTTTCATTCTTCTCGTTTACAATTGAGAAGTCTAACTTTTTGATAGGATAACGACTCAGCCATTGGAATTGTCAGTGCCTGCCTCCAATATTTGATGTGATCTTTCGCCATGTGTTCAATCTACCAGCGGAGCTGACTCCGACATCTTGTCCAGCAAACCCTTGCTTCATCAAGAGGGAGTCTTGCAAGTTCTATCATGGACTATCGCGTTGAAAATGGTAGAACTTATCACAGATATAAGGATGGAAGTGAGTATTGTGAAGCAAGGGGAACCGTGCTTCGCCGAGAGCTCTAGGCTGAATGAGAATTTCAGAATACAACATCCCCAATGATAAGAAGGAAATTGAGAGACTTGGTGAGTTCCTTTCAATAGTTCAGTTGGTTCATTCATACTGTCAGTGACATGTCTTCCATCATCTTCAGTCATCGGGACTCTGCTCTTGTGACCCCTCTATCTGCCCTAACCACCCAATACCTGCATCGTCGCCTTCACCCACTCTAGTGAAGGCCTCTCAACAACCATGCCTTTTGAATCATACACATGTAGGCGAGAGCCAACGCGATCTTTCCCCATCAAGATTCATGTGTCTAATATGCGAGCCAGATTTGCAACATACTCTATTCCTACTCACTTTCAGCGACAAGCTCGGAATGGCCCCTCCCTGCGATAAGGGAGCCAGCGCTGGCCACGTACTCGATATCGGGACTGGGACTGGGATCTGGGCGATAGATTTTGGAGACGAGCACCCAGAAGCAGAGGTTTGTTATTATCCTCGCAACCCTAATATTATGCTTATGCGTTGCAGGTTCGTGGGATAGACCTTTCTCCGGTGCAGCCAGATTTGTATAGCCTTGCCCAGCCGCTTCTTATGACCAAATATTGATGCTGATATTCTAGCTTGCCACCAAACGTGCGGTTCGAGATAGCAGACTTTGAGGAGCCATGGTCTTTCGGTCGAAATTTCGACTACATCCATAGTCGAATGATGAACTCATCTGTTGGTGACTGGAATGAGTATATTCGAAAATGCTACGAGTAGGTCAACTGCGTCTTCGATGTGAGCATGCCTAATTTTGTCTCAAGCAATCTCAATCCTGGCGGGTGGCTGGAATTAGTCGAGGTTGATATTACCCCATTATCCGACGATGGCACTTTGCGACCAGAGCACTCAGTCTCGAGAACGGCACGATTACTACAGCAGGCCTCAACACTATACGGACGGCCATACCAGGACGTCAAGGAATTGAAATCAATCGTGATGGAGGCTGGATTCACTGACGTCACCCTCCTACATTTCAAGTGGCCTACAAATACATGGCCGAGAGAAATACGACATAAAGAACTAGGGGTCTGGCATAACGAAAACCTGGTCAGAGGATGGGAAGGAATATGTATGGCCCTGCTAACAAGAATGCTCGGCTGGACAAGGGAGAATGTCCTTGCTTTGATGGAAGAGAATCTGAAAGAGTTCTCTGACAGGAATATCCATGCGTATTTCTCAATGTAAGTGGACAAAGCCTGAAGAGCAGTTGCAACTGATGTCCCGCGAGCTAACGAAATCTTTCTAGTTGGTCTATTTATGGAAAACGGCCTGTACAAGCAGGAGGAGTTTCTTCGGGGAGCATTTGAGCATTCAGATTTGACTTGCAATGGAAGGCATTTGCACATTGTGAAAGAGCGCTGTAGCGTCGGATCTGGCCATATTTATTTGATCAATTTTAAGAAGCAAAGACCTTGGGTCGCAGGGCAAGAACTCAGCTCAATGACTCAACAAGTCCTTTCATCGCCGCACGGTACGTACAAGCTGTGAAGGGGAAGTGCAGTCTGGACTTTACATCATACAGACATACTAGCTATTTTGGTAAAACTGAGGTAGATTATTGATTTGCCTCCATGCTCTGAGCCGCCGTCCGGACCCTGTCACCTCGGTTTGACGCGGTGTGGAGAGTGACATGCCCAGGTTGGAGACAGACCGGCCCGCGTGCCCATTCCCGGCGGAAGCCGGATCTCGGCGGCATCTCCACCCAATTCTTCATTCGAGTCAGGCCTCACACCATAATCCCTTCACCATTCTTCAGTAGAAGGGGAAACGGGAAGCTATGCCGGCACCTAGATCTAGGACCACGTGCTATCAATGTCGAACTAGAAAGGTAAGCCTCCCAAGCATGTACGTTTACTCGGTGACTAAAACGCCAGTCAGGTCAGATGCCAGGGCTGGCCGAATGGCTGTACAGCCTGCAAACGCCTCGGTTACCGGTGTTCCTTTGAAGCAACTTCCTTGGCCTCGGACCCGACACCGACACAATTAGAGCGTCGACGCGGCGAGCGGGCTTGTAACGAATGCCGCGCGCAGAAAATCAAGTGTTCAGGCGAAAGCCCAACTTGCGCCGGCTGTCGGCGGCGGGGTCGAGACTGTGAATATCCAGAAGCAAAACGACGCAGATCCCAAAATCAGACCAAACAATCATTGGGAACGGTCGCCGTTCATGATGATTCCGAGAAAGCCGATGGTTCCAACGTTTCAGACTCCACAGTGTCTTTGAGTGCTGCAGAGTCAAGTCTTGTCAATCTCGAGCAACCTCGACGAAACTATCATTCGGACCCACGGGCTCAGGCCTTGCCACCTACTGACACACAAATCCAACTAGTAGATGATTTCTTCAACCATCTTTATCCTCTTCCTTTGTATTCTTTCTTGCATGAACGGTCAATAAGGCAACGATGTCAAGAGGGTAGCCTCGATGAAAGCCTGATTCTTTCCATATGCGCTATTTCCGCAACCCGTCTGCATCGCGCCGCTGTTCATCCAGACTCAACCTCGGTATGGGTTCAGAGGGCAGAGAACCTAGTATGGTCTCATTTGGAGCATCCCACAATCTTCCGCACCCAGGCACTGCTTCTCATCTGTCAGTACCACATCGAGACTGGCGGATTTCAAAAGGCGTTCATGCTTTCATCAATTGTTTCTAGAGCAGCAAGTGCTCTTCGATTGCAGTACGAGCGGACAGACATACACCCACTTGCCCAAGAGATTAGGCGTCGACTTATGTGGTGTTTGATACTTTTGGATGGGCATTTTTCGAACGGTCTGCCCGAATGCGAGCTTTGCCCATTTGAGAATGTCTATCTGAAATTCCCTTGCTCTGAAGAGGAACTTACATTGCTCCACAACCCCGAGACCAATGAGGACTCGCCCTCTTTGTCTCTGGGGAGCGATCCTGAGTGCGGGCTTCTCTCCACAATCATTCGAGCGGCTACTATAAGGAGAGATGTTTCAAGATTGAAGCGGCAGATGTGGCTCTCTGGAACACCGCTACCGCAACTTGAAGCTCTCGCAAAGTCATTCTCACATGGTCTCCAGGCGCTGAAGGTCGAACCATACTGTAAGGCGACTCTACGGAAGCACTCGACGTCTCGTTGGCTCTTGAGGTATGTAGTATCGCACTTGTCATCGCACCAAGGACATTGCGATTTGCATCGCCTTTTTCTCTCCGGTTACTCCGAGGCTGCGTCAGACGTTGTTCTTAGCGCAGTCTCTCAAAAGTTTATGGCAACGGCTGCAACAGAATGCTTTCAGCATGCCACATCTATCCTTGAGATTCTCCACGACTTCAGTGAACTAAGACTTGATATAAGAGTACCCGATGTTGACATCGCCATTTGCAGCTATCATGCAACACGGATACTGCTTTTCCTCGGCAAATCCAATCTCAACCCATATAATTCGGGTCTCGATCCGGATACAGCTCTTAACAAGGCCAATTCAACATTCAATGTCATACATAGTCTATTCAAAGGCTCAACAATAGCACGTTTCATTATTGACGACCTAGAATGTGCTATCGCGGCATATCAGCCATCAACACCTGGGAATGATCATATTCCTCCGCTGGATAGTGGGAAGACAAGTCCACATCGACCAAAATTCGCAATTATGGCGAAGAAACACCAGAACCTGGCCGTTCATAGCATATTGAGACAAGCGCGATTTGTTGACGACAGTTCGGCTGCAGTAAGCTCTTCGAATGAAGCAACGAAACAAACACAGCATGCAATGGCCCATAGGTCTCGCAGCGTCGAGGTTCCAGTAAGTAACACCACATCAAGCCAAAGTTTAAGCTTGGCGGAAGCATCTACCGCAGATTTGATTTCAGGTGCGACTGAGTGGAATGAGGACGCGCCAATGGTCGAAAACCTAGTTGAAGCCTCCGATACAAGATTTTGGGGCGACTGGAACGAAACCTGGGGTCTCGATGAGTGGCCGATGGAAGCAGACGAGCACTACTTCTGATGGGATCCGGGCTATTCTAATCTTTCAGTTTCACACGATCGAAAGGTATTTCTGGTGGTATCTGCTGCCTTTGTTGACCGTTTTGTCTGTGTTGTCTATATTATAATATCTGTGGATCTGAAATCTTTTGTTTCTATTGTGTTTGCCATCTTTTGTCTCTATTCGGCCGATAGCTCAATTGCAAAAGGGCTCTGCCGGTATATTCATTACTACCATGGTGGAGGGTGAAACTCAAGTGATTCAATCAAGTACCGGCATCCAGTCTAGAAGCCGCTTTGCGTGCACACAGTTGTAAAGAATGTAGCGAACGAGGTCACTCAAGCCAAGTACTTGACTGCCTCCTGCCGCTTGAATGATATTTATAGCTCCGAGTACGTGGTTTGAAGCCATTGATATGTCCTGAATCATAATCTAGGGTGACAGTCAGCGCAGCCATTGCGTTGAAAGTCATCACATGACATACATCGTCGAATGCTAAAACCAGGGCTCTTGTGACGGCTTCACGTCTCGACGAAGGACCATCTGACAAGATCGTGTGCCGAAGGTCTTGGATATACCTGAGTTTGTATTGAATGGCGATTTCGGCGTACTCCTTTTCTGACTTGACAGTAGAAAGGTGGCGGCAGGCCGCAAGTAAGAAACCTTTGAGAAAGTCTGTGTCTTCAGAGCTTAGAAGCACCCAATTATTTCGTACATGGTCGTTGTGCTTGCCCATGTAATTTAATACTGGGCATTGACTAAGCATTTCGGGCACGACAACTTGAACATCTAGGAGTGTGGTCAGCTCACTTGTGCACGTTGCAATCGACTTATCACCGACGACGTATCATGATACTGGAATTAAGTGCAACTCACAATGCTGAAACATGTAATGCTCTCTTGGTGTGAGTGACCCAAGAAAGCTCGCCAAGGGTTCGTGCTCGAACGCCCCAGAAATATTTGGCGGAAGCACCAGAGTTATTTCGTCACGTACGAATGATGCCAAATTTTTCCAATTACTTGACATGCGCTCCTCTGAATCGGCACCCTCGCTGTCACCTTCTGCGACCCCCGATATTTCTCTACGTTGCGTGTGCTCCACCATGCGACGCCTTCTTGCCCGAGCGTGAGCAACACGAGCAGCATGGGAATGAGCCTGCCGTCTCAGGTTGGCCGAGTCTTTTTGAGCCGGGAGGACCATAGTAATGAACTCCATTTCAAGAGTGACCTAGAATCAGGCTGAAGAAGATGAAGGAAAATCGTGGCGACTTAGATGAAGCGTTCGCAGGCAAGTTGCGCTCTTGAGAGTCAGTTCCGAGTCAGATTATCATTGGTATGAAAGAATCCACATTTGTCAGCACAAAACTCGCCGAAAAACTGCCTTGAAGTTCGCCAAGAGTTGCTCCTACTACATTAGGACTAGCTCCTCGCAGTTCTCCGCATAAAGAAACATGAATGATGGGTCTCCCTAGAAATGGTACGGAATTTCGTCGCCGATCTCCTCATACACCGCTTCGATAGCAGCCACCACATCGTGCGGCAATGGTCCTTGTTCAATCATGTCAATGTTGGACTCCAACTGATTCACGCTAGAAGCACCAATGATGATCGAGTCGCCGTGCTTGCTACTAAGAAGGCTGTGATGTGCCGTCCAACGAAGCGCAACGGCGTGACCGGCGATGCCGTGCCGAGATGCGGTTTCAAGTGCCTTTTCGGTGGCGGCCATGATGGAGGGTCTTAAGTAGAGATTTGCATACACCTCGCCAGAGGAAATCTTGTGATGAAAGAATCCATAATCAGCACACCGAGCGAGACAGGCAGCGCCGCCTGTTGGGGGAGTGTGCTCACCGATCTGTCCCATCGCCCACCAGCCTTGGCGTTTTTGTGATTGCCAGCAAACAAGCCTCCAGCAGCGGGGCTGTACGCGTAGAAAGCAATCCCACTCTTCCGAAGAATAGGGAAAAGATCCTTTTCGCCACTTCGTACAACTGCATTGTACTGACCCTGGTAAACACTCGGGTTCACATAGCCGTATTCCTCGCAAATATCGACAAACCGTTGGACTTCTTCTGCTGTGTAATTAGAAATCCCCCAACGCTTGATTTTTCCTTCGTTGTATGCCTGAGTCATAGCTTTACATGGTTCCTCGAACGGGGTGTCACGGTCAGGAACATGCAGATATTCGATGTTGATTTGCGGGATCCGCAATGTCTCGAGCGAGAGGTTGATCTCGGACAAGACTTCGTTCTTAGCATGGGTTGCTGGCTTCCAAGACATGACTTTGGTGTCGATGACAAATCGTTCACCCGCTGAAACAGCTGCAAGCCTAGGCTCGCAGCTTCCCGGTGCATGAGGTGAATACATGCGCGAAGTATCGATTTGGTTATACCCACGCCTTGCGAAGACGTCTAGGAAAGACCTGACCTCGTCAGGTGTGTCAAAACGTGCCATGGCGTCGATAGACTTGTCCCCGATCTGCACATAGTCATGTTCAGACATACTCCAGCAATGGCGTTGGTAGAACTCACATTGGCGGCGCCTAGAACCAGATTGATGACAGATTTCCGGCTGTGTGACATATTTGCTTTGTGTAAATTTATAGAAGTATCAAAGGTAGCAATTGTTGTTCGAGTTTGATAATGAATCTTCAAACCTCAAGGACTTGGGACTTTTACGCCCTTATATACATCGATCATGTTCATCGATCAGTCACTGCAGAAGCATCAATCTTAACCGTGGGAATATGCTCCTACCTGATCAAGCAAGTGCAATGGTTGGTGCTCGGATTTCGTATCATTAACTGAGATGGTAACGCGGACAGCCTTGATGCTCCGGCACATAACCCATGCTCCTACTCCCTTAGGCAATTGCAACGTGGAGCTTGCCAACTAGCCTCCAAAACCCGGCGCTCTCAGTGGACGCCATTGAGCAACTTTGATCCAGCCAACTTGGTATGTATCGGTTCGTCCCCAATCTCAGCCATCTTCTCGTTAAGAAGCTTTGTCATCTTCTTCACTATGCCTAGGTATTTGGGGTCGTTGTAGCAGTTGAAGAGCTCGAGCGGATCCTCCTGGCAATCGAAGAGCTCCCACTCCTTTTCTTCCCCACCTGGACGCGCACCCTCCATTCCCAAATCTTCGTTGTACCAGTAGATCAGCTTATATCGCTGATCGCGCACACCATAATGCGCATATGCTTCGTGGATTACATCTCGATGCATCCAATACCTGTGGTATGCCACTTGCTGCCAAGACGGCTCGACTCGATCTTCTCCGAGGAGGAGAGGTCGAATGGATCGCCCCTGCATGTAGCTCGGGATCCGGACACCGGCAAAGTCGAGGAAGGTTGGTGCAAAGTCCACGTTACAAATAATATCATTGCACACAGACTGCGGCTTAATGGCCTTGGGGTATCGGATCATGAACGGCATCTGAAAGCTTTCTTCGTACATGAACCTTTTGTCGAACCAACCGTGTTCACCCAAAAAGAAGCCCTGGTCAGATGTATAGATGACGATAGTGTTTTTTGCAAGATCCTCTGACTCTAGCCAGTCGAGCATTCTGCCGACGTTGTCATCGATGCTTTGTATCGTTCGCAAATATCGTTGCATGTATCTCTGGAACTTGAACTCTGCGAGCTCCTCCTTAGTCTTGAAAGTGAAGACTGTGCCGTCATCTTTGCAGACTAGCTTGAGCTTTGTGACGTCCTCAGGGGCAGGAATTTTGCGATCGTTCCACCACCAAATGTCGATCATCTTCTGGCCAACTTCACTGCTGGGCCCCTCAGGCTGGACAATCCCAAGGTCTCCATAGGTGAGGTCCTCGGCGACACGCATCTTGGCGACTTTGGCAGCATTTGCTCGGTTTTTATAATCGTCCGTAAAGGTGTCAGGTAGTCGTACCGGGTCTTTATAGAGGTCCTTGTGCTTGTTGTCGCACTCCCAACTGCGGTGGGGAGCCTTGTGGTGGCACATGAGGAAGAAAGGGCGCTGTTTGTCACGATTCGACATCCAGTCGATGCATTTGTCGGTGATGACATCTGTTGCGTAGCCTGGTACCCGATTCATGGTGGACTTGCCGCCATGGGGACCAGGTTCGATGAACTGAGGGTCCCAGTACTCGCCCTGTCCTGGGACGATGCTCCAGTAATCAAAGCCGGTCGGTTCGCAGTTAGCACCCTCTCCAAGATGCCACTTGCCCACCATTGCAGTTTGATATCCTCCGGTCTGGAGCTGTTTGGCCACATTCGGAAGCCTGCTGTTGAGCTTGGAGTCTAGGGTCGTGACGTTGTTGACGTGGTTGTACGTGCCGCATAGAATTGCCGCTCGAGATGGTGTACAGATACTGTTGGTGACATAGCAATGATGAAATAGCATGCCTTCTTGGGCAATTCTGTCAAGATTGGGGGTGCTATTGATACCAGCACCGTAGCAAGAGATAGACTTGGCGGCATGATCGTCTGCCATAATGAAGACAATGTTGGGGCGGTTTTGGGACTCCATGATGGTACGACTGAGCGTTTTGTTTGATACAGAAGAAAGAGATGGAAATATTGGAAGAACAAACACTCCCTGACGTCTATTATGCCTTCCCGTCATCTCAAATAGGATCGATTCGTGGACAACTCGGGTGAAATCCGGTCGGATCGGTCCTGGATGAGACGTCTACTGCCCGAGGTGGGCACTGCGTTGCTTCCAGGCTAATGCAAACTACGGTAGTCGGCGAACGATCGGCAACCGGAGCAGTGCGATGATGATTCGTCAACCGTGAGTGGGGGAGCATGGAGACCCCCGGCCGACTTCCAAAGACGGCAACCAGAACCTGGTCAGTGTTGAAGGAACGAGCAGCTGAACATCGAGCTCCCCTCATCGAGTCAGAAATGGTACGAATCCGACAACCGGTCTTTCTTGCGTGATTTGATGAGCAGGGACGCGAGTTCTTCCTATCCTTTTCTCGATCGACCAATCCCAACTCAACGCGACCGACTGCCGACACGCTGAACCGGTCTCGTGGGATCTTGAGAAAATATCTGGCAGGGTTCTAGGTCTTGAAGTGCTGGTTCTCATGACGTTCCCCGTGGGGTCTCCGCATTACCGGTCTGGTGGGAACTTACAAGGGGGCACCCATCATTGCAAATGTGCAAAAGACCAGCTGAACACGAAGTAGGGATTTGCTTGGTGTGAAGGATAACAACAACCGACGTGTAATTGATAGAAATTCACTTGATGATTATAAGAGCTGTAAACTCCCCACATCTTGGACTGGACTGTAATGATCACGGACATCCCGACACCTCTCTTTGCAAATTGATTTCACGCCTGCATGCCGCGAGTAACATCATGAAAGACCAGCTCTCTGCGACTCATGTTGAAGACTCTGCTGACAAAGATGGCATTCGTGAGCTAGGTTCAGCTTCTCAAGGGTCAGAAACCTTGACTTTGAGACAGACATTCCGCTACTACTGGAAGGCTGTCGCATGGTCTCTCTGTCTGTCCAACGCAACCATCATGGAGTCATATGACCTTCTTCTAATCAACTCGTTCTACGCTTTTCCGCAATTCCAAAAGAAGTATGGCGTGAAACTACCAAACGGAAGCTATTCTGTGCCGGCGCGCTGGCAAATTGGTCTGTCAATGGCCAACTTGGTCGGCATGATCATCGGAGTATTTGCCAACGGTTACTGCGCAGACCGATGGGGCCTGCGAAAAGTCATGATGGCTTCGCATGCTGCCTTGATCGGCTTCATTTTCATCACATTCTTCGCGCCATCTGTTGAGGTTCTCACAGTTGGAATGCTCCTGTTGTAAGTCGCATTCAAGGCAACCCTTGGGCAAGCAACTCCAGCTGACTTAGTCCTGTCGATGACAGATCCCTGCCTTGTGGTTTCTTTGCCGCCGCAACCCCTTCTTACGCCGCTGAAGTTAGCCCTCCCCAACTCAGCGGCTATCTCACGGTGTATGTCAATCTCTGTTGGGTTATGGGAAAGATACTGGCCTTTGGCGTCTTGTCCGGCACTCTCAGCATAGAGGGTGAATGGTCCTACAGGATACCTTTCGCGCTTCAGTGGATATGGCCACTGCCTTTGATGGTAGCTACATACCTAGCTCCAGAAAGTCCGTGGTGGCTTGCAAGAAAGGGGAGAATTGAGGAGGCTGAAAACAGCCTCCGCAGGTTAGTATCTGCGCCCCTAACAGTCATCGACCCCAAAGATTCGCTTGCCATAATTGTCCGTACTATTGAGGCGGAACGCCTGATGAGCATCCAAGGATCATACTTAGACTGCTTCAGAGGTGACAGCCTGCGCCGGACAGAAATTGCAATGGTCAGCTGGGGCTGCCAAATCCTCCCTGGATTCGCCATCCAAAACTACATCACCTACTTCTTCACCCTTGCTGGCCTCGACTCGCCGGACTCCTTCAATCTGTCGATAGGTTAGTGCGGTTCTGGCTCACATGTGATCACGCTGACCAGGGATACCTTACAGGCAATGCTGGCCTTGCGTTCGTAGGAACAGTGTCGTCGTGGGCTTTGATGACAAGATTCGTTTGGCGTACGATGTACCTTGGTGGGCTAATTGCCATGTTCCCGGTCATGTCTCTCGTCGGTTTCCTTGACTTGGCAACAAGCACGCCTTCCGGAGACAACGTGAGATGGGCCCAGTGCGCCATGCTTTTGGTCTGGTTCTTCATTTACGGTAAGTACTCTTCGCATCATCGACCGCTAAGCCCAAGCTGATGTGCCGACCAGGTGCAAGCATTGGACCCGTACCTTACGGCATCGCTGCCAATGTTGGTGCAACCAATATCAGGGTCAAGACAATCTCGCTTGGGAGGAACACCTATTACTTTCTTTCAATTATCAACACCATTGCATCTCCGTACTTGTTGAACCCACAAGAGGGTAATTTGAAGGGAAAGGCAGCCTTCCCCGCGGTGGCGTTCACGTTGCTGTTAATCGTCTGGGCTTTCTTCCGGCTACCAGAGATTAAGGGCATGTCGCCCGAAGTTCTCAATCAGCTATTCGAGCAGAAAGTCCCAGCGAGGAATTTTTACAAGAATCAAAGAAGTATCAATGAGAATTTAGGGGGGGTATAGGTGCGGTTTTGCTCTCACCAGCAAGTTTAACTGGAGTCTCTGAGGGTTATCATATAACAAGGGTCTGATGCTATGCAGTGCGAGATCTCTCCAAGTACAATCAATGTAGAACCGTGTTTTTACAGCACTTTTCAGACGATGAGTGGCTAGGAAGGTATTTGAGGCCATATAGTCTAAACAATCAAAGGATTCTCTGTAGGATGACAGAGCGTGAGGACACGTGAACTCCTTGATTCTTGCATTTGAGACACCAAAAGGCAAGCACAGCCACTCCACTTTCACAAACTCTTTACCATCGTTCGGCTTCCTCCAAGGTGTGTGCGCCCCCCATAGCGTAGTATATCATATCCGACATGGGGCGCCAACGTTTTGATTTTGGCGGCGTTGTGAAGTGTTTCGGAGGCCAAACATAATGGTCGACATGATTGTATGCGTCGACCTCAACTTCCACGGGCTTATCGTTGTCTTCCTCTCTGATCTCGTGTGCATCAGGGTCATAGATACGTGCTTTTATGCGGAACAAGCTTTTAGCTGGTTCTTCCAGTCCCCATTTGCGAATGTGCGTCCAACTTTTGCTGCCAAAATCTTCCTGAATATCGCTTTGCCGAATGTATCTTTCACCAAGTGGGAGACTTTCACTGTGTCTGTGATCCTCTGCTCGTCCCATCTTGACAATCACCATGATTTCTTTCCTCTTCTCCTCCCCTTTCATAAACTGTCCCTGAACTCCAAAATTGCCCGGCGAGCGCGCATCCTGGGAGATTGGAACACGCGTGCTCGTATCAAGGACAGTGCATGCTTTTCCGGAAATAGTAGAGCGGTAGATTTTGATAGTAGCGCCAACGTCGAGATCGTCCAACAACGTTTGCCACGTGTACGGCTGAGGCCATCGCAGGTATCTATCCAAAATTGACTCGTCATGGAATATACCGCCGAATGGCACAGCTTCGTCCATATGGGCTACCAGATCCAGGCGACTCGCTGGTTCCCTGACCATCGCACCGAACGGTCCGTAACCTAGCAGTGCTGAGCTATGGCTGATATATCGAAGCTCCTTCCATCCATGTCTAACACCAATCAGACCCGTGAGAGTGCTGTAACTGATTGGAGGAGATCGAGTACCAAGCACAGTGAGTGTTTCCAGACATAGATCCGGGAGAAGCTTGAGAACAGAAGCTAACTGATAGAAAACGCAGAGGTCGCTGCGTCTTGGGTAGTCAACTGCCAGCTGGAGAGGATCGCCCACAACACGCATATGCCTGATTTTCGGTATGGTTCCAAGAGGTGCCGACAGCAGCATGTCGAGCATCGTCTCAGGATCCTCGAAATGGAAGAGTACATGGCCGATCCAGGTGTCTCCGATTGAGTTGTAAGCTGCTCGACAAGTTCGCAATATGGCGAGGGCATTTGGAGCTGGTTTGATCCTGGTTCGTTTCAGTCTATCGACGTATCGCTTCCCATGACTGAGCCTCGTAGAAGCGAAAAGGTGCGAGAAAATGATGTTGCGTAGCTCTTGGGGTATGCCGTGGAAGAGCCAATCCTCTCCACTCATGTTGTTGTTTTTTGCTTGCTGATTGGGCATCCGTCGTGGTGGGTGGATGGCAGCCATTTCTTGATCGGTTATCGACGTAAGAGAGATTTTTATTGAGAGATACTAATAGATATATATCAAGTGATGTCAAGGGACTGCATGGTGCGCATGTGTCGTATTTGTCTTCAGCACGTCTCACGTAGAGTAGACCTGGTGGTTTGTGCGTCGCTCCCCTAATCCTTTTTGTCTGACGACAATATGCACATCCGCAGAGATGCCACGGGATCCATGTATCGTGGCACAGCAACATCCATTCCCTACATTTGTATTGTCGATTACCTTTTCCTTTTTTTTCCTTGACCTTGGTTCTTGGCCCCTGACGACGGCGACGACGACGACCGCCTCTCTCCGTGGCTTCCGCCGCAGCACACGATGGGCTAGTGTGCTCGGTTTCGCAACTTAAAACACATGCACTGGGCAATCAACGATGAATGCCCCAGCCAAGAACGGCTAAAACTGGGTAAGCTTGATCATGGACACAACAGCAGATCTCTGTGGCCCCAGACGCTATAGCGCTGTGATTTTCCCAGGCTATCTACCCAGCTGATCCAACAGGCCGGTCTCCGAAGAATGAACCGACCTGGAGAAATGCCTGTCGCAGACTGAGACACGAAGATGACAGGTTGGATGCGTCAAGTCTCGGCGCAGCTTGTGAATCCCCAACCAAGATCTTACTGACAGTTTCGGAGAAGTTGAACATAAGAAACCATTGATTTCATAGGCCTACCTGTGTTTCGATTCAAGGCCTTCGCTTTCCCCCCTTGGAAGCATCTCGATATCATTGCCGTCCTGCCGTTTCCAGTGCCGACGCTTTGAGAGCCCGTTCCTAAGGCCCGTAAAGAGCGGCGACGACATGCCCCCATTCTGTTGACGGCGAAGATGCTTTGATTGAACGACGTTGGGAACGCTTGACCACAGGTACCATGCCAAGAAGGCTAGGCCCATCAGAGACAATGACAACAAGACATACTCCCAGATGCGATGGGCTCGGTCTTCACCAGTTATCTCATAGGTATTCATACCGTAGATACTCTTAGTTGATGACTTTGATCAGCAGGACGTAGCTTGGAACTCTACACAGATATAGGCTTACCGCAGCGACTTGCAAAGGCAAGTAAAAGAAAGTCAGCAACGCTACACGTCGGATGCTAGCTGCGAGGCTGTTGGCCGCTTTGGTCTCCTGAATAGCTACAGCCGTGTCCGTGAACGAAGCAAGCTGGAAGATCTTCACAGTTCCGCAGATCAGCCCTTTTGTCTTGACTTTCCAGTAGCTCATCATTCTCTTACCAAATTAACTAGGACTTTAGTGGTCGCATCAAGATCTTCAATCCTCTTCTCTTGGGTATTAAAATCATACTCTATTCTTCTCAGAGAGTTTCTTAGAGGCTCGAACTCTGGCGCTTGCGAGACAATGTCGTTGTGGCGCATGTAGTCCGCAACTCGGGCTGCTTTTTCAACGCGGCTGCGGGCGCCTGCCCAGAGCCTAGAGAATTTGTGAAGGGAAACTGAGAGTTCTTTTTGGCGCTCATGCGACGTCTGTTGCTCTGTGATGGTCTGACTCTGTTTCAGGCATGGCATTAGCTACGCCTGCGCGGTCTCACAAGTTACTGCTCACAATTTGGTCCAAATGCTCCTCGGCTTCAGCAATGAAAATTGATCAGTTATGCGCAATTATTTGGAACAACTGAGGAATGATTTGATTCAATCCATGACAGCCTTCTTTGGTCCCCAACGAGAGGTTGTCTTCTCTGGGTACAAGCCTCTTTAGCCCCTCAAAGATGAGCGCGTCAGCAGTGTCAAGCAGAATCAGCCCGCCGCCGCTATATTCAGCATCAGGCGAGATATCTTCGTGATGAGACTCGGAGGCATGGACCAGATAGATAAAGTCTATTCGCGTCACAAGCCATGTGTGGTCATCATCGAAATTGGCGGTCGGGGAGGTTGGATGCCTTGTTGATTCAACCGGTTTGATGCTAGTGGGGTACATGTCCATGAGTTGGAGATTGAAGTAGATTTCTGTCAATGTAGGTCAATGTGGGATCAGAAGGTCTCTCGGAGCTTCAGTACGTACGCATTGGGCTACCCAGTCCCACACTTCGAGGAACGTAGTGGAAGTTGAAGAAGCTTGGTGGTATGCCCATGTAGGGCCCCAATATCTGTACAACTCTAGGGCAAATTTCGGTAGCGATGCTGTTGGCTGATTAATTTCTGCATTGTCATATAATGGTGACTGATCACAAGAAGGAGATGACTTACAGGATGTTACTCGCCGACTTGTGTGGAGAGTGCCACATTCGGGCGACGTTCAATAAGTAGGGCAAGCCACTCGCGTCATGCCTATAATCCCTGACATGAGCCCATTTCCTTTCGGAGAACCTAAAATGATGAACATTGAAGTTGTCCTTGTTCCAATGATCTCGAAAGTAACGTTCTAAATTGTGTAGCAGCATCTCAGGATGAGGACTCGTTCCACGGCCAGGCAAGATAGGATTCGTCGTGGTCCTCGTCAGCCACAGGAGCCACATCCTGGTCTTTCATCCACCAAGCTTTCGCGAGAGCCATGCTGACGATGACTGAGATTTTGAAGAGCGTTAGCAGGAGTCAAAACAACATCTTTAGAAGAGGTCAGGCAGCAATTTGCACATGTATGCAGCCTAATCCGTGTGATCTAGATAGCTTGGCAGCTCTTCCCGCTCACGTGATATGCATGATGAGTCGGCGCTTCCAATCTGAAGCCACCATTGGTTACATGTTATCCTTCATATTCAGCATGTCATTGACAAACGAACTTGACCGGTTGGCGAGGATCTAACAATACTAGCCACTTTCTCGTTCTATCTACTCGAACTCCGTCTCATCAACGTTCCTCAAGAACGACGTGTACCACTTGACCAAGTTAATATGCCCCTTCACACTCGTCTTCTCATCGACAGTGTGAATACCCGCCCACTCGTCGCTCTCCGGATCATACCCAGGCAAGAATCTGAAAATATGCGCCGTCAAGTCCCAGTAGTACCGCGTGTCCGTGTTACCCGTCATAATCCCCGGCGAGACAACCACCTCCTCGCCATACAGCGCCCTCGTCGTCCCGCTCAGCACGCCATACGGCGTCACGCCCTCCACGCTCGTGGGCGTCACCGGCGCCGGCTCAAGCTTCTTGTCATTCCCGCTCAGCGAAATGCTCGACGGCGTCTCCTTGCCGTCGAACGCGTGCAGCGTCAGGTTGTACTTCTCCGCGACAGGAGCGATCAGCGCGGCAATGTGCTTCTTGACCGATTCGGTGCTATCGCCGACGTTGACGCGGTGGTTCACCACGACGCGGACCCGCTCCGGCAGCGCGTTGATCTTGACACCGCCCTCGATGATGTCCGTCGCCACCGAGGTCGTGAAGAGGTACTTCACCTGCGGGCCGGCCTTGGCCGCCTCCTCGGCGAGCTTGTCCGATCTGCGCTTGCAAGTTTTCTGGCTTCCCGAGGGGAGGAGCTTCTTCAGGTTGGAGGGGAACTCCGGGGCGTACGAGGCGCCGCACTGTAGCTTGCCGAGGTACGGGTTGCCCTCGAGCAGCTCGGACTTGTAGGGGCTGCCCTCGATCTTGGTGACTAGCTCGGAGAGGATGCCGATGCCGGTGTGCGGGGGCGGGATGGAGGAGTGGCCGCCGGGGGTGCGGACGACGACCTCGACGTCGATGTAGCCCTTCTCGGCGGTGCCGGGGAGGGCGAAGGTCTGGCCCCATTGGGAGTCGAAGCCGGAGCCCTCGTCGATGAGGATGGCGGCGCCGTCCTTACCGTAGCGCTCGAGGAGGAATGGGGCGAGGTGGCCGGCGCCGCGCTCGCCGGAGATCTCCTCGTCGAAGCCGAAGGAGAGGACGACGGTGCGCTTGGGGGCGAAGCCGGCGGCGAGGAGCAGCTCGACGGACTCGAGGATGCCGATGAGGGAGTTCTTGCAGTCCATGGCGCCGCGGCCCCAGACGAAGTAGCCGTCATAGGCGCCGCTGAAGGGCGGGTGCGTCCAGCTGTCGATGGTGGTGGGCGCGACGGGGACGGTGTCCTGGTGGGCCATCAGCACGGTGGGCTTGAGGGAGGCGTCGGAGCCGGTCCAGGTGTAGAGCAGGCCGTGGGTGTTGACGCGCTCGAGGGAGAGCTGCTCGTGGACCTTGGGGAAGGTCTTTTTGAGGTACGCCGAGAAGGCGAAGAGCTTGTCCCAGCGGTCATCCACGCCGACGTTGCCGTAGTTGTCGAAGGACTCGGTGGGGATCTGGATGGCGCCGGAGAGACGGGCGATGGTCTCATTGCGGAACTTGGGCGTGTCGAGGAACTTGTCCAGGTCGGAGAGGGCCGCCGTGGTGAGGGTCGGGAAGAGGGGGTCGACCTGGCGGCAGGCCGGCGCGGCGGACGAGCCGGCGCCGGGGTGGGTGAAGGAGGGGATTGGGATCGCGGAGGGGGAATGGAGGTATGTCAGGAGGAGGGCGGCCGGGAGGAGGGACCACCACGCCGATGCGCGACGCGGGGCCGAGGCCGGCGGGCCGTCGTTGGTCAAGGGGAGCTTCTCAGACATGGTTTGTCTCGGTCGCAGCCGTTTGGATTACCTAGTAAGTTTGCCAAGTCCCAGTTGAACCGAGTCAATTGCAGATGAGAGGTAGAAAAGGAAGGAGGAAAAGAAACAGAGCTTGCTGGACAAGAGAAGACGGAAAGATAAGGCGAATCGATGATGTGCTCGCCTATGACAAATCGGCCGCTATCGCCCCGTTGCCGAAACCTCTGACGAGCACGAAAGCAAAGCTAAGCTTGTGCGGGGCCGTTTCGCAGAGCTTCGAGCTTCCGTATCGGGTGCGAGTGGAGGTCCCAACGGACCGGGATCAGTGCTGCTGCTACTGCTCGGCTATCGGGCGCTTTGCTCGGCTGTTCGTCTGATTCTGGATGGCTGCGCACTGATGCGGAGGCACATGATCGGCACGTTGAGCCGGTAAAAGGTATGGTAGGCAAGTTGTGGTATTACTATTGTGATCAAATCATGAGGTATCCGCTATGCTAATCTCTAAATATCAATCCACATCTAAATGGAACTTCATTTCCCCTTCAACTTATCTAAGCGCGTCCTCGCGGCGCGAAGGAGAGCCCACGCCACAAGGCGGTAGATGATGACGCACCCCGCCAACGCCGCAATGTTAACGTTGGGGTTGACATTGAACTTGTACAGCTGCAAAACCTCTTCGCCCGTCTCGATCGGGCACTGTCCATTCGGCAGTCTCTGGTCGTCATTACAGGAAAACTCGATGCCTCGTAGACTGTACGGCGCAACTGCCCGTGTGGCATATCTAATCGGAGACAGGTAGTTGAAGATCTTGTACAGCTTCGGCATGTCAATAGACATAATACCCGCCATGGTGTTTGCCACCGACATCAAGACGGAGATGATGTTGACGGCGAAACCGGTGTGATTAAAGAGCGTGTTGAACATGATGCCTACCGACTCGCCACATGAAACGATGCCGAAGCAGGCAAATGAGCAGACAAAATACATCTCCACCGTCCGCGGGAGGCCGACTGCAAAGTCTGCCAGCACACCAAAGACAAGGGAACTGATGATCTCGAACGGGAACTCGAGGACAGAGTAGGCAGCAAGAAAAGCCTCTACGCTGTACGCCCCATCGTCGTCCTCGCGATAGAAGACGTCACGCTCGGCGGGAAACACGGCGACGTTCTGCAGCATGCCCACGAAGTAGAAGGCGGCGATTTCTTGGATGAAACCCATGCGGTTCTGGACCGAAAAGTAATCCTTCTTGAGCGGCGCAAAGAAGAGAGCGAGGACGACGCCCAGGGACACCACCTGCGCTATCCGTGCAATGAGGAGTGGTGGCTGCCGGCGGAAATTGATGAGGCCTCGGTGCAAGAGAATGGGAAAGGCCGTGACGAATGAGGCGCGTTTGCGGACCAGGGCGCCGAGTTCTGCAGGAGTGGCCAGGGACGCCTTGTTGAAGGATTTGCGGGGAATGGAGGGAACATTAGAGGGTGATTTTGTAATGGCGTCTTGAGCCTCGTCTTCTTTGGCATCAATGGTTTGTGTCTTTACCGACTTCGTGGAGTTGCCCTCGTCGCCTTCTTCGATGCCCGGGAGGCGCTTATCCAACGTTTCTTGAAGGTCGCTGCCATATTGTGTTCGCCATGCCTCGACAAGCTTTCTGACCTTTTCACGGCTCTCAGCTTCTCTCTGCTCGTGTTGCAGGTCGATGGTGATGAGATCAAGTGCAAAGTCGGCAGGATTGCTGTGCGCAGGACACTCGAATCCCTGGCGGGTGAAATACGCCAGCATATCTTTTGCTGGCCCGGCATACGCTGCGGAGCCCCCTCTAGCAAGGAGAAGGACGTTGCCAAAGTGCTGGAACAGGTCGGACCGAGCTTGGTGGATGGTCAAGATGAGCGTCCGGCCTTCGTTGGCGAGACCTTGCAACACTTCCATGATGGAATTGGCCGTAAACGCGTCTAGACCGCTGGTCGGCTCATCCAAGAGGAGGACTCGGGGATCGCTCAAAAGTTGTACGGCGATGGTGACTCGTCGCTTCTCACCGCCAGAAATACCCTTGACCAGCTCGTTTCCGACCAGGTTATCCGCGCAGTCCTTAAGACCCATCTTGAGGAGCACTTCCTCCGCGCGTCGGCACTTTTCGTCCTTGCTCATGTGTGAGGGCAGCCGGAGACCAGCTGAGAATCGAAGAGTTTCGCGAACAGTCAGAGACGGTAACAGCGCATCATCATCCTGACAAACATAGGAGCACACGGAACGGATCACCGTGTTGGACGGAGCAGCTCCGTTGAAAGTCAGCTTGCCGGACGGCAGATACCGCGTGCCGACGCTGTTGCGAAGTCGCAGGGCCATGGCGTTCAGAAGGGAAGTTTTGCCGCTGCCCGAAGGGCCCATGATGATGTTCAGCTTTCCAGCCTGGAAGGTCGTGTTGACTGGGTTGAGAATGGTCTTTCTTGGCAGCTTCTTCCCCGACGGAGCCCTCTTATCCAAATCCAAGGCAAACTCATCTAAGCCGACATCGATAGTGCGCATTTCCGATATGGAGCGTACTTTCATCTTTTCCTTGCCTGCCGACAGATCAGTGTCGGAAACCCGGGCGCGGGCGATGGTCATCTCTTGCTTGATAAACTGAAGGCCAAAGGCAGATATCAAGCAGAAGAAGACGACGAAAGAAGCCATTATGACGATTGGCCGCCAGGTCCAGTTTGGCGGAAAGCCCAGGGAGTTCATCACAAAGTTGCCGGTGTACTGGTTGCACTCCGGATTCGAGAAGCCTCCCTCAAAGGGACAATCATATAGCGCGTTTGTGAACTCGTTGCCGCAATAAGCACCGAACCCGTAGAACTGCAGGTGTTAGTGATCATATCTTGAAAGAATTGTGATGACATTACCTGGTACGTAATCCACTTGAGCCATCTCACATAGACCGGTATCGTGTTGGACTGGATGAAATATCCGCAAGCCATGCTTTGCAGCGTAAACACCATGTTTGCTATCAAACTGGCGCCCGGAAAATTGCGAGATGCTGTCACACACGTCATGGCGCATGTGACTGCGATGTAGTGGCTGATGAGGGTGATGGCAAAGAAGGTGAAGAACTGTGTGGCATCGTTGTCGAAGCCGGCTATGAAGTAGAAGATGACCGAGAAAAGAAACGGCACAGGGAGATCTTCGGTGAAGAGCCGGGCGAGGCGGCGTGAAAGGAGGAAAGGAATGGCATCAACACAGTGTTCGCTGTGCTCGCGGTCGTATGTCGGTATGTCCAATGTGAGGCGATACACCTCGAACACGAGCATCAGGTAACCCTGCAGACCGGAAATGGTGTAGAGTGCACCTTGCCGAGATCGGATACCGGATAGGTCCTTGGGCAGATCGTAAAAGATGTAGCCGGTAATGATTGCCATCAAAATGGCTTCCATGATGGCAGCGGCCATGCCCATAGGGTCGCGGTAGGTGATTTTGAAAGTTCGATCGGTTAGCACACGAAGCTGCCGGCCATACGTGGCATGCTTCGTGGTAGCAGACCTCAGACTCCGTCTCCGGCCTGACGTCTCCACGATCTTTTCCGATGGCGCGTATTTTCGCTGGCTCTCATGGATCCACGCCGTCTTCAGTCGATCAACTCGGGCTGTCGATTCCTCCTCGAGCTCAGGTGTGCGGGTGTCAATGGCAGCGACGTCGACAACGTACTCGGCCGGGTTGACGAAGGGGGGAAGCTTGAAATTCATACCCTCAAACCACGGTACGCAGTCCTTGGCAAGGCCAGAGTATACCGGGCTGCCCTTGGTGAGAATAATCAGGTTGTCGAAGAGGTCCCAAATCTCGGATCGAGGCTGGTGGATCGTGGTGATGACCGTCCTTCCCTTCGTGGCCAGCTTCTTCAAAGTCCGCACCAACTGGAATGCGCTCGTCGCATCAAGACCGGTTGTAGGTTCGTCGAGAAAAACAACCGAAGGGTTTGCCAAAAGCTGCACGCCAATGCTGACCCTCCTCTTTTCACCCCCAGAACACCCGCGATGCTGGTTATTTCCTATTCTTGTGTTGGCGCATTCCTTCAGTCCCAATTCCAGGATGACCTCTTCGACGATGCGCCGTCGCTCCTCGGCGGTCGTTGGCGGCGGCAATCGCAAGTCAGCAGAATACTGCAGTGTCTCACGCACAGTCAAGGTCGGCAGAAGAATATCCTGCTGCATGACATACGCATGACGAGCATTGTGTACGCCCTCGTTTCCATTGAAAGTAATAGACCCGCCCTGCGACAATCGAGTGCTGAACATGCGCTCCGACATGGTGTTGAGCAGCGTCGTCTTTCCGGAGCCACTTCCGCCGATGATGGCTGTCAGGGTCCCGGCGGGCAGGGAAGCGCTGACATGGTGCAACAAGGTTTTGGAGCTCGACTGGGGATTAAACTTTGCCTTTGCAAGCTCTAGGTATGTTGCAGGGTCGAACCATGAAGGCGAGGTGTCTACGCTCACTGCCAGGTCGCGAATCTGAACGTCGACGGCCTCAACATCGTCGAGAGAGATGTGGCCGGCGCCGGAGAGAGAGAATCGCCGCGCCAGGCCTGTCTGATCAGCCAGCGTGTTTTGGTCCATCGTTGTGTCGACGGAGCTTGCGCGATCGATTTTGTCAACGTCGACCGCGACAGGTTGATCGTCGGCTGGCGGAGTGGTTTGCGACAGCTGGTGGTCAGCAGCCATATTTGCTTTTGGTTCTGACATGGCGAGAACGGGCTCGGCGACTTTTCACTCTAACTCGTCCTCGTCCTGGGCATGCTGCCTCTTCAACGTTGCTGGTTGGGCCGAGAAGTGGAAGGTGAGATCTTGGCGATAACCATATAGTTGATGTGGACGAGGGGCACGGGTTAAGAGGCGATCGAAAAGCTGACAGCAGAAGCGGCAGCTGGACTAATAACGGGTTCGGATTGGCGATGGAGACGAGGCGTCGACGGGCCGCGAGGTGAGAAAATGACGGCGTGTGAGAATGTCTCACAAGCAACTGCTTCGAGAAGGAAAGCGACCACGAACTTCCGTTTGGGGGTGATGGCGCCGATAGTCAACTGGTTTCCAGGACGAGGCTCCGACTCGGATCGCCGAGAGTAAAAACGTCTGGAGGAACAAGTCGCTGGCAGACTATCCGGTGTTGATCGAGGACTGAGGACTCCAAGGAAAGGGTCGCAGGAGTCGCAAAGAAGTCAAATGTCAGCCCGCAGCAATAAACAAGATATCTACCGAAACCATGTGAAGAATGGCTGGTTGACAGGAAGACAAAAAGCGCCACGAAGATGAAAAAGGGAGATGCGGCTGGGTGGTGGATGCAACCTCGAGCTCCCTCCCTCTGTATGCTGGTGGTCGATCTCGAGCTCACAGCTCACCGTCCAAGACCCCGGCACGAGCGTAGAGATCCGGTCAGAGTGCTTGAGTGCTTCGTTTCTCGTGCAGGCGAAGGGCGAAGCGAGGAGGCCAAGCCAGGATCAGAGCTGCACATTGCTTTTCCCCTCCACACGAGTCCACACACTCAGTCCCGCAGTCCCGCAGTCCACAGGCCCCCTCCCCTCGTCTTCGGTTGCAGTCACGGGCCGGCAGGGTCCATGGCGACATACCTAGTCAATAGACGTAAAGTATTGGAGCGAGTGCGTCGTCTGTTGGTCGGTCCCGAGGCATTATGTCTGTTGGCGCGCAGACGTCTGTTCTCTATGCTGTCCTTTGGCGGTCCAGGCCCATGCCTCTGGCATTGACGGCGTCCATGACAGCGCGGACGGCGTGCGGGAGGCGGTCGTTGGCAATGCGACCCAGCCAGCTCGGTTGCTCGACAGGAACATGGGTGGACGGGTTCTGAGAGAGACGCCATGTGGGTGGAGGGGCAGGGCGAGCCAAATGGGGGAAGGGAGGCATGTCGACAACTGGGCGACGGACGACGGTCGACGGATGGGGCTTAGGGGTGTCCAATGTCAGTGATTCCTGGGCTGGGAGGGATGGCGAGATTTGGAGATTCCCAGGCGGTTGGCGCATGTCAATGACACGCCGATGGCCATCGACTCGACAGATGCTACCCAACCCAAGTTGTTTGTGCTGTGCTGTGTGGCCTCGGACCTCGTTTGCTCTGGTGTCTGCGCTGCGTCTTTGCGCTCTTCCGTGGCTTCGGATCCGTGACAGAGTGACTGATCTGCTGTTGGTGGATCGGACATTGTGAGATTGACAGACCAAGCCATCTGGCAGATCGTGTCTCTTCCTCCCTGGCTTGAGGCTGGCTGGCTGGAGATTGAAAACGAGACCGCCATCCCACCGACAAGTTGTTTCCTCATCAAGAAAACGCATGTCACCGACAGGAAACCACCACTGGGCAGTGACTGCTCCCGGGGTGTACCTTCGATTTCCACTGCTCGCTTGCCTGCACAGTGGGTCCCGGTACGTATCTACCGTTCAAGCCCGTTGAACCCCTGACATCGCTTAGCTCGTATCATTCGGTTAAGGTCGTGCTCGCTTAGAAGCGTACGGGCGATAATGCTTGGGGGCCGCAACAAGTGAACGGAGCCTGCACCGCAGCTTCAGCAAACGAAACCCACTGAAGCGTGGATCACGGGGTCCCTGGACGTCGCGGCTTGTTGACAGCGGTCGTCGACTGTCGTCAAGTGTTTGCTACAGGTACAATGTCTACCTAGGTACAGATTCCCAGCTCTGTGCGACGAAAGACAACCACCTGTTTCCCACTGTTTTGGATGCCACAATTCCACGTGAGATGGCGACTTCTGGTCTTGGAAGTAAGCATGTTTTCTACGTCGTCTCCCAGGCCACCCAGCTCGGAATGTCTCACGTCCTCATTACCAATACCACCTCAAAGCCCAGCTTGCGCGTCGCCGTTTGGAAGTCAGGAACCAAACTCGTCAAATTCTCCCAATTCAATCTCAATCTCAAAGAACCAAAAAAGAGCCCCACGAGGCCAAGTCCGGTCCCACGTCGCTTAGACGCCGCCAGTTTGACAGCCCGGATAGCAGCATCCTCGGTTCGCAAGCGAGGCCGACTCCAGGTCTCCGCACGCTTCTATCATCTCCATCTTCATCTCCCTCGTCGGAGCGACTGGTCTTTGGCCCGGCCTCTCACCGATTGATTCTTCAGCGGGAATTTCTCAAAAAATGTACCGGCGGTCGGTCATCTCCGCGCCACCAACACAAAAACACAAACCGAGCGCCGCAATGTCTGTCAAGTACTGGGCTGAGACCTGACTGATCGGCGGGATGCATGCCCGGGAGATCGCGTCCCCCTCGCCTCGAGCACTTCGGATAACTTTAATTGCCCTCCAACGACACTCCCCTAGCACGTCCTCGACTGGCTGCTTCCAACGGTCTCTGCAGTTCGCGAGCTTCAAGACTCGATGGTCCGCGAAAGACCCCGGTCTTCACTAGTGTGAGGGTTCTCAATGTCGGCTTCAACGAGTGTTTGGCGATATTCGCAGAGGCTCTGTACTTGTTCTGAAAGAGACCACCTGTTTTGACTGCTACGGCGACTACATTTCCTGTGGCTCCATTGTCGCCATCGTCGTCGCTATTTCCCTTCGGCATTCGAGGCATCGAGGATAGTTCGAAACAGGGAACTTTTCCACGTTCACAAACAATAGCTGGTCTCTTTGGAAGTAAGGGACCAGGGCCTGTTTGGAAGAGCCATGAGATTGACTTCATCTTACCTCAGTCTATCAAGTGATGGGCATCTCGTTCAGCGTTAGATCCAGACTACCACTGCATTGAACTTGATCCCGAGCGTGGTTTCTCGACGAGATGTCGATATTGCTGCGCCAACTTGCAACACGCGATAACTCATTGTCAATGACAATCGACTAGGCAAACATTTCAGACTTCTTAATAACATCCTTATTACAAATTTGTTAAAAGAATATCATATCAAGCATTATCCAAGATATTATTACGACCAAAATGCGCGCTACAAAACTCCATCTGTGCAAAAAGCCCCTCTCTATCCTCACTTCGTCCTCCTCTCGACGATAGCCTCACCCACAGGCTTGCCCTCAACAAAACCGCCATTCGCACCGCCAAACTCCCACACCTTGCGCCCCCTCACCCACGTCTCCAGCACCCTTCCAGTAAATTCCTTGCCCTCCCACGGCGAGCACTTGTTCTTCCACCGCATATCCCCGCTCCTCAGCGTCCACACATCCGCATCATCAAACACACACACGTCCGCGTCCATCCCGACCTTCAGCGCCCCCTTGCGGTGTCCCAACCCAACCTGCGCCGCCGTCTCCCGCGCGCACAGCCGCACAATATCCACAATCCCCGGCGCCGCCCCCGCCCCGCCCTCCCGGATCCGCGCCTGCGCCGCCGAGTGCACAATCGGCAGCCCCAGTCCGACGGACGAGATACCGCCCCACGCAGCGAAGAAGTCGCCCCGCGCGCTCGCGTCCGCCGTCGCCACAGCCTGCTCCTCCACCAGCTTCTCCGCGATGATCTTGTCGACGCTCTCCCCGGGGATCGTCATGTCAATACCGGAATCGGAGTGGTGAATGTTGAGCGGCGGGCTGTCCTGGCCGCTGGTGACGGTCGTCGGCTCGAGGCTCGCCGGGAGCAGCTTCAGCTGCGGCGTGCAGGGCGAGTGGTCTGACACGATGGTACGAATGCACGAGTCCGGCGCGACGAGCTCCTCCCATAGCCCGTCGCGGTTCGAGCGCTCGCGGATCGGCGGGCAGCACTTGTGCCGCGTGTCGCCGTCCTCGATGTCCTCGGACGCGAAGCCGAGGTAGTGGAAGCACGTCTCGGCGGTGATGTTGATGCCGCTCTTGCGGGCGGCGCGGAGGAGCGGGATGGCCTGCGTCGCGGAGAGGTGAACGATGTGCAGGTGCAGGTCCGGGGCGAGGTGCGCCAGAGACAGGATCTCGTCGACGGCGTAGGTCTCGAAGGACGGCGGGCGGGACTCGAGGAAGGTGTTATAGGAGATGAGTTCGCCTGTGGGCGCGGCCGGGGGCTCAGACTGCTGGACGGCGTCGCCGACGGAGTCTGCGATGGGCGGGATCATCTCGGCGTGGAACATGAGCGTCGTCGGGGTGCCGTTCAGAGTCTTCATGGCGAGGGCGACGTCAGAGGATGAGACGGCGGGGAACTCGTCGACCTGGGTGATGTTAGTTAATGAGACTATCACAAGGACAGAATGGTGCTTACACCGGACTCGATGAGGAAGCCCTTGAATCCTCGCACACCGGCTTCAACAAGGGGGAGGAGCTCGTCCGCGTTGCCGGGGATCACGCCGCCGTAGAAGCCAACGTCAACCCAGCATTGTCCTTGACTGGCAGCAAGCTTCTCTTTGAAGCCTGCAACGGTGGTGGTGGGAGGGATGGCGTTCAGCGGCATGTCGACGACGGTGGTGACGCCTCCCGACGCCGCGGCGCGGGTGCCGGTCCAGAAACCCTCCCATTCGGTGCGGCCGGGCTCGTTGAGGTGAACATGAGCATCGACGAGGCCGGGCAGGAGGAGCTTGTTGCCGTGGTTGATGTACACCGTCGACGCCGGGAACGAGGTCTTGGGCAGGACGGCGGGGATGCTGTTTGTGATCTTGCCGGTGGAGGGCGAGACTGTGATTGTGGCGGGAGTGAGGACGAGGTTGTCCTCGACCGTGAGGACTGCGCGTGTCGAGACGAGGACGACGAGGGGCGCCGCTGGCTCTTCGGGGGCTGTCATGGTGAAGGGCCGATAAGAGCTTTGGGGGCCGGTGATAAGATATGAAGGTGGTTAGGGAGCTGTGAGCTTTCCCCAGGTTCAAAAAAAAGTTGGTTTCTGGGGGTGCTGCGAGCTTATCTCTCGCGGGGTGTTGGTGGCGGGGTGATCGAGATAAGAGCTCAACGACGGTTCTTGCGGCGTGGCTTGTGATAAGAGATGAGAGTCAAGACGAGTGAGTGGTGTTGGGTATCTGACGAAACTCTTATGAACTCAAAATTCGCAGCGTCTACAGGTGGGCGGTAGTGTGTGTGAGAAGTGAGAAAAGAAGAGAATGAGGAAGAGAAGGAGGAGAAAAAGAAAAGAGAAGAGAGGGCGTCAACGACAATCTCACAAAAAGACGTCGTCCGTCAGTCGATCCACAGCCCACCGCCTCGCCCATCGCTCACCACAGCCATCCCGTCCTTCGTTCCAGGCCGCACTGATTGCCCCCCTTCTTCCCAGCTTCCATTCTCAGTCCCGTCCCGATGTCCCGATAAGATAACATTTGCTCTGACAAGCAGGACACACGACAAAGGGAACGAACGGCCCCGATCAGCCAACGAAATCACAGGCCGAGACCTCCCACACCCCTCGTGTTTGGCTGCCGTGGGGTGCGTTATCGAAGCCTTCGCAGTGTTCCTTTGACTTCCCAAAGTCGCGCACCCCGGGGGACCCTGAATGTCTTCATTGCTGTTATCAGCAGCCTGTAATTGGCTGGCCGCCATCGGATGAGGCCGTTTCCCGATCTAGAAGGCTTTGGTAAGCAGCCTGTGTCCAATGAGGGCGCGTCCCAGCGACGGGGGCAGATGAGTCCACCTCGGGGGTGTCCATCGGCCGTTCTCGGCAAGGCTTCCTCGGGCTTCCTCCTTTCTTATTTTTCTTCTTTTTATTTCCGATGGGATTTTGGCTTTGTGGTGGTCATCGCCGGCGTCGACAGAGGGACCGAGCTTTCAGCCTTTGCGAGTTTCGATCGAGTAATGATCGAGTAACAACATGGCTTCTTTGGGGAGTCTGGCCCGCCAATTGTTCATGCGCGCCAGCAATGGAGCTGTGGATTCTGCTTAGGGTTTCCTTTTTCTGCAGAATTTCCCTGTATGTGATGCGACCTGGTCTTGGCCTAGACCTGCTGCGTGTGGTGTTTGCCAATGGGACAATTTGCATTCTGCATCGAGTACCGGCTTCAACACCAGGCCGTTGGCTGGGGGCTTGCTCTTACTCGATAGATTCACGATGAAGGCAACCCAAGCCTGGCCTAGATACGGTGGGCGGCGAATTAGAGACGCTCCGATGGCGGTGATCACGCACCACCTCCCACGCAAAACCCCGCCGTCCCCGTGCCCCCGAGTCATCGACTAGCCCATCCACGAGGAATTGCGTGAAGCGGTGACGATGCATTCGCTGACTGACCGACCCGGCCCCGACACCCGGGGTCTTCTTCTGCCGTTCTCCCGTTCACCCAGCCCTCCGACCCCCGTCCTGGAACGCGTTTCGAGAGCACCGACGGCGGAAGACGTTGTTTGATCTGTGCTTGGCACATGCTTTTAGTTTTCTTCACTGATGTTCCCTCTTTTCTCTATCAGAAATAAAAATCTTCCTTCGCCCACGGCAGCTGAGATCAGATGAGACTTGAGCAGCAGAGTTCATCGGCTGAAGGCGGGAAACATGGGACCGGCTGCCAGGCTAAGCTTCGCTGGTCCCTGACCGATCCCTGCGTCTGATCATGCTGGCCCTTTCGGGGCGCTGCAAGCACCTTCGCGCCATCGAAGCAAACGAACGAGCAACGTAATGAAAACACCGTCTCCACGGAGGTCGCCGTCCTCTCAGGAACCCGTCGGCCCTGTCGAGGCCTTGTCGGCTTTTGAGTTTCTGGATGACTGCATTTTCAGCGAGTAAAAGATTCCCGTCTCTCCAATCACTTGTTCAGTCCGGCCATGCAGTCAGTTCAATCCCCGACGGCTGAGTCCACGTCGAGGCAGGTCCATCACCACCTCCGAAACCCCGCGTCCGCAGGCTTGTGTCGAGTTTCGTATCAAAATGGGAAAGTTGTGTGGTATTGAGCTGCAGGTTTTTGGTCCTCTACCTCACCTCGCTGAGTCCCGAATGCCTTCCCCTCCCCTCACCCCGCGCCCCGCCGTCTAAGAGTGTTGTATGATATCGTTACATGTACTCGCCAAAGAGCCCAGAGATTCTGTTGTACACGTCGAATGCAACATACCATAATGCATGCATTCCAGGTTTTTGTTTGTACAGTTTTGTGTGTGTGGTCTGCCGATCAATCATGACCGCGCTGCTGCCACCACGCACTCGTTTACTTCGTCCTCTTCAACGCCTTGACAGCCATCTCAATAAGCCCGTCCTTGGCCTCGCTGTCCGGGAACTCGCTAATGGCCGCGATCGCCCGCTCCGAGTAATCCTGCGCTAATGCCCTCGTCTGCTCAATACCGTCGCTCTGCAGAACCAGCTCGCGTGCCTGAAACCATGTTAGCTAAGCTTTCGTCCGGACTGTTGGACGAGCTTACCCTTGTCACGTCGCCCTCCTGCTCAAACTTCCTGCCTACCAACGCGCCCAACTCCGCGTTCTCCTTCCACGCGAACAGTAGCGGGGCTGTCGCCAAACCCAGCTCCAAGTCGGCTCCCGCCGGCTTACCAAGCTCCTTCTCGCTCCTCGTGTAGTCCAACATGTCATCGACCAGCTGGAACGCGAGACCCAGATTCTTGCCGTAGGCGTAGGCGGCCTCGACCGAAGCAGCATCCGAACCGCCGAGAATAGCGGCGGCACGGCATGACTTGGAGATCAGACTGGCCGTCTTGAGGTACGTCTTTTGCAGGTAGTAGCTCAGAGTCTCCTCCGAGTATACCGGCTTGCGCTCATCCTGGGCCGTGTTCTTCAGCTGCATGAACTCGCCCTCGACGAGGTTCGCAATGACGGTAGCCAGCAGCTCTATTACCTCGGCATTCCTCAAGCGAGCCAGCGCGACGGAGGCCCTTCCGAGGAGGAAGTCTCCGGCCAAAACGGCCATCTTGTTGCCAAACTCGAGGTTGGCCGAGGGGGAGCCGCGGCGTGCTACGGAGTGATCGATGACATCGTCGTGGAGGAGCGAGGCGGTGTGGATCAGCTCGGTGATCTCGGCGAGACGGCGCTGGGAGGGAAGGATATCGGATTCCGAAGTCTCAATAGGGTCGGCGGAAGTCAGCGGAGAGCTGGGGTTGACATCGACGAGAATGCCGGGAGGAGATATCGCGGTATCAACACCGCCGGAGGGGGGCTGCATGCGGGGACCCTTGGGGCACTGCGCTGTCGCTCTTGACATCAGCAGGACAATCAAGGGTCGCATGTGCTTCCCCTCGGCCTGTGTGTAGTACTTGGCGACACGGTCCAAAGACGGGTGACCTGAGCCGAGTAGCTTGCGAATGTTGCCCGTCAGAAACTTCATCTCCTTGGCCACCGTCCGCAACGGGTCGATGTGCATGTCGCCCTTCGGCACCACCCGATTAATAGCATTGGAAGCAATGTTGGAGGCGACAGATACCGCAGCACCCCATGCTGAGTTTCGGCTCGGAGTAGAGTGGTAGAGGGCGGCGGTCACGGGTAGCCGGGCATCGAGGGGCGCAATCCGCCTACATTGGGCGCATCGGGAGGAGGGGAGGAGAGATCGTGACGTTGTGGTGTAGGTGCTGCGCAGCACCGCTGCTCCCGGTCGGAGCTGCATGGCTCCGGTAGTGCTCCAAAGGGTTTCAATGGAGAGAATAGGAAGTCGCCAGAGATCCCAACGACATCTGTATCGTTTTGACGCACTCAAGACCCGTGGTTGTGGCAATTGGCAGCTGGAGGCGAGTGGTGATGATACGACTTGATGACTTTTTTTTTCCCGCTTTCCAGCTCAGGCCGCACCAAGCCCGGTCCTTCCCTTCGACTGTGGCTCTTAGGTAAGGTACGTACCGCGGGACGAGCTGCTAGGCGATCCAGGCACAGCTAGTCAGCTACGTACTTTTTGGGGAAAGTGGCGGGACAGAGGCACCGTGATTGGCTGCTTATGCCTCCAGCTTGGATGACAAGCTGTGCTGTGTGCCTGCCTCGGTGTCGCATCGGAAAGGGACCTGGACCTTCCAATCGTGTTGTTGGAGTCAAGACTTTGGAGAAGCAACACAATTAACCCGATCTGACGGTCGTTTCTCCTGGCTGCAAACCATCTTGATCCGGATTGTTTTCGGGAAGCGGCACGAGCACATCGACACCATGGTACGACTTACGATGTCGCCTTCCATCGTGGAGGGTTTGCAGAAGCTGGCTGAGGCCAGGCCGGAGATGGACGATGCGAAAGTCCACGAAGTAGAGACAGACGATGCAGAGCAAACGCCAGAGCCGACACCTGCATTAGGAACAGAGGACAATACTTCAATACCAGAAGAGCCGAGTCTTGACGAACCTGCTGTCGGAAACCCCATCACCCACAGTCAGGTACTGGATCTGTGGAGGAACCTCAAGCAAGAAGAGGTCGATGGCTTCTCCCTGGAAAGCTTGCTGCGGGGAGCCAAGGTGTACATCCCGCCGCCGCCCCCAAAACCTGAGCCGGTAAGGGACTCCAATCGTGTCGATTCGCCTTCTTCAACTAATAACTTTACCGCAGTCCGACGAGTACAAGGCCCTCATGGCCCGCCTACGACGCGAAGAGGAAGAGCGAACCTACCAGCGCATGTTGAAGCAACCCTCCCGAATGGAGGCCTTTTCGCAGCAGTTCCCCAACGCCTCTTCCAGAGCACACGTCTTCGCCGAGGTCAACCGGCCGATGCGCGAATCCGACAACGGCGACGACGAAGTTACATTCGGTGATGTTCAAAAGCAGGTCATGGTCATTCTCAACTTCCTTCTGAGCGTCGTCGGCGTAGGTGCGACAATCTGGATCGCGGCTCGCTGGTGGAGCCTCACATCTCGCATTTTCTTGACTATGGGTGGATGCATCGTGGTGTTGATCGCTGAGGTCGCCGTGTACTCTGGCTATGTCTGGAGAATGACAGAGGCCAAGGCGAGTCGGAAGGAGCCCAAAGAAATCAGGGAGGTGATGCAAACATGGGTTGTGGGCCAAGACGAAAAGACAAGCGACGGGGACACGGTGTTGCTCGACACGAAGATGCAAGATACGGACGAGGGTATACGACGACGACTGAAGGGCTCGACATAGCCGTTTATTCATATCGAATTATTAAGAGTTCTATGACAACGAGAAGATGCGCATGTACGTGCGTGTGGCGGTCATCCAATCGTGCCGCAAGCTTCTGACTGATCAGCCTGCCACTTGGCTCTGGGATCAGTACCAATCATCCAGATTGCAGTAACCAGCATATCCATACCGTAAAATGATGGTGGTTACTCGTCTCAACTGCTGAATATAAGTCAGAAAAGCAAGCCAAGTTCAGGTTGTGTCACGGAGCAGCCCGGCCGTCTGGGCCAACAAACTCGGCGCCGATTCACATGTCCGGTTGTAACCCGGCAAGCGGGGCCACACGAAAAGCACAAGATCTCACCGATTAGCACCCCCTGCACTTTGACATTTGCCCATTAAACTCAATCCATGTCATATTTCAATATCGCAAGCGTTTGGGCGCGAATGCAGGCGCCACACGTGACCTTGGTGGGTGGAAAACGCGACTCGACGCGGTCGATGCACGTCATTCCTGCCGCGACGCGCTTCGGTGGGGCCCCGAAAGCTCTCGATCGATCCGCCATCGCCCTGCGAGGCAAAGACAAGACACCACCACAGCATCGACCTTGATACCCGTCCGTCTCTATTTATTGCTTCTGTGTTGGCGTATTGTCAATTTTTTGATCGCACTCATACACTCGACATATCGGCATGCTCTTCTAATCTTTCAACAACATCTGGGGGCGTGTCTCGTCTACAATAACACGGCCCACGCGCGTCGCGTCGCATTCTACCAAATCTCAACTTCCACCCGACGACAAAACAGCCTTCGAGGTTTTCATCCGAATAATGGAACAGCCTGAGGAGATTGAAGTCTCCTCAATTTCACGCGATATCTCTCGTCCGACGACCGAGAAACGGTACGAAATCTCCCCACACTCTAACGCGCATTGTTCGCTAACACCGTTCAGACGCACCTTGCGAACATACAGCAAGCGGTCGCGAGTAACTGAAGACGAGCCAACCTCGAAGCCGGCCAAGAAACAAAAGATCGTCATCGAAGACGCCCTCGCGAAACAACCAAAGCTTCGTATCCCACCTCCGCTACCGGCACACACGAGCAATATTCCCAAGAGCTCCATCCTCAGCTACTTCAAGCCCTGCCGCTCTAGCTCTGCAACGGAACCCTCAGATCCCTCAGATCCTCTGTCCGACTCGGAAAAGCTAATCGACACGCCCCCTTCATCACCGCCGGTTGTTAGAAGGATACGAGAGCCAAGGAGACTGCGCCTGCGACACAGTCTGCCTTCTCCAGATGGCGACGATGCAGAGGCCGACAAGCTGGACAGGAGCAAAGACGAAGAGACGGCGACACGGGTCACGCGATCAAGTCGACGAGAAGGAAAGCAACTGCAGGAGGCGAAGGAAAGCAGGTTGAACGCACAGAAGGAGAGTCCCGAGCCGAAGTCGAAAGCCGCGACGGCCAAACCAAAGGAAAAGTCGAAGCCGGTTGCGACGATACAGACAACCATCAACATCTCTTCAAAGCCCACGTTTGAGGAGTGCAAGGTCTGCCGGATGGTGTACAACCCACTGCACCCCCCTGATGTCAAGTTTCACATGCAAACGCATGCTGCGCATCTTCGCAAAAAGGCGAAGGCGAGGGCATAGGCAACTATGTGGACGAAGTTGGGAAAAGTCTTTAAAACGGTAGATGATGGAAGGAGACGAAGATTGGATCAGGAGCTGCTGTCAGACTTTGACAAGAGACTGACTTGATACCACTTAGGAGATGATAATCAATGATACCCCTTAGCAATACAAAACAACTTGCATTTCGCTCCGTTCGTAACAGCTATCCAGAAGCAACATGTACTAAGCGAGTGACAAAAAGCGAATGACAAAGTGAGTGACAGAATAGAATGTTGAGCACCAAGCTCAGCCAACCCTCCCCCTGACCGATCAACAGCCGCAACCACACCTTCCCCTCGATCCCGCCATGCTCATTCGGCTCTAACCCCTATTTCGGTTCGCCTTCAAACCTCTTAACCAATGCGGGCCTGGAGGAAGCGCGGGGCCGCAACAGCCGCATCAGTCTGGTACAAAAAGTGCGCCGGCAGGATGAACAGGGTGCCGTAGCAGACCGCGTCCGCAATGTCGCAGTAGACCTCGGTCTTGGACGTCTCGAAGTTGGGGATGCGGCCCAGGTTCTGCAGGTTCTTGGTGTACCCGAAGAGCACGACGCCCTTGATCTGGTTCTTGATCGTGGTGCTGAGGCCCGAGATGGAGCCCGCCATCACGGCGGTGCCCTGGCTGTAGCCGCCCGAGACGATGGCCGCGTTGGGGCACTTCGTGTTGGCGAGGGTGAAGAGGCGCCTGGCCTCGTTGATGGCGGCCGAGGAGGTGCCGTCGGGCAGGAAGTTGGAGGCCAGGTCGGCGAGGTAGGGGCCGCCCACGCCCTGGACCCAGACGTCGTTGGCGCCGTAGATTCTCTCCAAGGCGTCGGCGACGATGGGGCCTGCGCTGATTCCCTTTTTTGAGATGTTAATATGGGCCTTTGAAGATGGTACGAAGGAAGCCTTACCATGTTACCAGGCTCAGTCGAAGCACGGGCAAAGATGTAGATGACCTTGGGGCAGGCGGAGCTGCTGCCGGTCTCGAGCTCGTTGCGGGTGGACGACTGACGGGTCTCGAGGGCGACGCCGGTCTCAACTTCGACGGGAGCCGCCGCGGCGAGAGTGATGGCCAGGGACAAGACGCTGAGGAACTTCATTTTGGATGTTTGGGGACGGGGCGTTGCCTGAAGAGAGTGGTCTCTGAGAGAATGTGCTGCGTCGGCTTGGAGCGAAGGAGAAGGCGGAGCTGTCAGTCTGAGCGAGAGCTTGAGTCTGATGGTCCAAAAGAAAGTCGTTTTTGGGAGGATCGTGAGGCCCTATTTATGTTGTTTCGATTTTCACGGTTGTCATCGTTTCGTCCTTACGTTTGACACTTCATGACAGGCAGAGGCAGATCTGTGAGATGTACCGAGTACAAGATCTCTTGAAGGTGATCACCAGAAGAGAAGCACGAGATCTTGCAAGGCAACTCATGCAAGCGCAGTGAGTTCACGATGAGGAGCAGATGTCAAAGTGACATGTCAGTTCATCCCATCGAGAACCCTGACGACTTTGATCCTTCACGAGCTTCGATCTATGCCTGAAAGCAGCGACCAACCTAGCTGACCCTGATCCTCAAAGTCGCTCGTCAACAAGGTTCCCTCAATCAGAGTCATGGACTCCGTTATTCCTCCGCCAGTCGCATCTTGAAGCAATCCCCATCACCAAGATTCCACAGTCGGTGAGCTGGGCGTTCCAAGGCCCACGATGCCACGTGAGGGTCGCCATTTCGCAAGTTTCCATCAAATTGGGTATGGTCGGAAGACGCTCCGCAATCCCTCTAGCTGTCGCAATAGCGAACCAGGGAAAAAAGGGGCGAGCCTCGGGACAAGACCTAGCATCAGGGAAGATAGCTCGAGGTCTGGAATGAGGGGCCTGATGCGGCTTATGGCTGTTTCCGGCGGGTAATTCCTGTTGGGTGAGGATGGCTCTTGTGGTTTGAGCCAACGGGAATCGTGGAAGTCCTTCAATTTCTCCTGGTTAAGGAAAGGACCAGGCATGATGGATGGTACTCCATTTACCAGTCGCCCAGAAACCAACAAAACCCAGCGCAACGGGAAACCCTTGGCCCTGCAAGTCGGCCGGTAGAGATATGCGGCCCCGCAGAACCCCGCAACTCGGCGACGTTGGATGCCTCGGCTCGGGCGTCTGACTAAGTCGTTTTCGGAACGGCTCGCAGAGGTTTCAGGCCTGAACAAATTCCCAAAAGCTCATCTTCGACGTCTTACTGGTTGGGAGTTGCGAGTTGAGAAGGTCAGCCAAGCTGGGCCCGACCGTTGAGCTGCATGTACAGGTATGCGTGGAGCGCGTGTGCTACGCCGGCGGTCGGTACTTACCACTTTGAAGTGTGGGTTGTCTGGGGGGCATGAGAGTTGCATGCGATGAGCTAGTCCTCATTGTGTAAAAGTTGCGAATTTCTTTTCCTTGGCTGAGAGTCTCACCAACGGGCTCGCATGCGTACGCGTAAAAGATCTGTACCCCGACATCATGCGACAAGCAAGTTTTCACCGGGGGGCTAGAACAGTGTGGAGACAATTGATAATGGTTATACTAGTGAGAGAGACGATCACGGAATGATAGTCAACGACGTTGCCAAGCCAAGGCCGAACTATTGACTGGGCCAGAGATCTTTGCCGTATTTCGTACTGAGACCCCATGATCCACCAGAGACATTTGACTCAAAGGTCATCGACCAGAGGGCTGGGGCCTTGCGGCATGCCGATTCTATCCTCGAACATCATCCGAAGAGCCTCCACTCTACCACGATCTGACATGAAGCGAAGATACTCGGCAGAGTTGGTCATGTCCATATCCAGAATACCCGGGTAGCCTCCAGGGGCAGTAATATCCTTGCGGGCGCTCCATTGCGACGAGTTGCGCTGGAACTCATCGCTCAAGAGGAAGTTGGCAAAGAGCTTGGAAGCCTCCGGGTGGGGTGCGTCTTTGAAAATGGCAACGGACCTGGGCCAGCTGACGAAGAGTCCCTCGGCAGGAAACGATGCGTTGAGGCTTCCCGAGGCCCGGAGACCGATACTAGCGGTGAACGTCACGGACTGCGTGCTGTTGGGCTGACGGAGGACGGCCAGAGGCGAGCCAGTGCCGCGAACCCAGCGGGGATTATTAGCCAAGAGGCCATCGAACCATTCGGGGCCGTACTGATTCATCCTGAAAGAGGTTAGCAATGTTTCTCTTTGAGTGAGTCAAGCATCATACACGAGGTCGAAAATGTATGCGATCGCATCGTCATCGCTTGGGTGCGTCAAGACGATCTTGTCCTTGTACTCCGGCTTCAGAAAGTCAGGCCACTCGCGTGGCGGGTTCGCCAGCTTCTGCGTGTTCCAGACGGTTGACCACGCGTTCATGGCAAAGCCGTAGTATGCGGCGCGAATGTGTCTGAAAGGCGCCAGAACTTTCATGTAGTTGCTCGGCGCGTAGTGCAGAAGCGCTCCCTGAGCATCCCAGCGGGGGTAGTCCTGAAGGGCTTGGAGGATGATTGTGTCGACTTCGAGAGGTTGGCCTGAAGCGAGCTGCTTGTCGATGTTGACGCTGTGGTATTTAGAGCGGTTGACCGTGACGTTCAGTGTCATGCCCGGAAAGCGTGTCTCGAAGGCACGCTTCAGGCCGTCTTGTTGATTCACTTCATCACCGCCGTGCCAGCAGGTGACTACACCGCCTTCTGCTAGGGCTGCTTGGTAGATCTCGTCGATAGTGCGGTTCTCGTTGACTTGGGGTGTGTTGAAGCCAAGAGAAGTGTCGTAAGAGACGACATTCTGGGCCAGTAAGGCGACGATGATGGCATGAGCAAAACGCATCTTAGAACAGTAAAGGGAAGACTGGGCTTGTCTGAACGAGTGACTGTGGACGAAAGATTCATCTCATCTTTGGACCCAACCGCATTTATGTCTCTCGAAAGACATGATTTAGGTACCCTCGGCGACCCAAATAAGGCTTGGGAGAACAAAATATCATGATGCTTGGCAGCCGCGTAATATTCAACGTCTTAACACTGCCCCAAGTCCATTTCATTTCCTTCACCAAGACTTTAGCGGTGCTCGTTTTCGCGACATGATCAAAATGCCAGGGTGATGGTCCATATTGACGCTGTCTGACCAGTTTCCTGCCAGAGAGAGCTAGCGCCAATCAACATGATGGCTGACGTTCATACCGGTCTTTGCCTTACCGCCGAAGATCAGGTCGGGATCCGACAGATTATACTACAGAAAATTGGCCTTAGTCATCTTGCGCATAGATCTTTCCCCCTATCTCGTTACAAGTGTAGTCGCGCGCGCGCGTATCTTGACTCGCGGTAGTAGTGCACTTGTGTTAGTCTGTCTACCGGGCTTTCCTAATGGAGTAATATTTCGCCTCTGAATACAGAGTTTACAAGTTTTAACACCGCCTTATTTGACTGTACTCGTCAAGCGTATCCATTTACAGGGCTGTGGTATTGTTAAAGACCAATTACCATGCTTTCTGATTAGCTTAAGGTTATTTGAATGACGGAGTTATGATCCGATGCCATGGCACGTGTTGATGCCAAGTCTAGAGCAAGGGTTAATAGGATGAACAGGAGAAGCCAAGCCCCGCGTGCTCTGTCTACGCTAGAAACCTGGATGTCTAATCGTCCAAGATTTAGGAGCCATTGAAAGTAAGCAGAATGATTCCAACGGGAAATCGTTGGTGGTACTAATTCCATTTGCCAGATTGGCGTGGAGTGAAAGGAAATCGGGCAATGTTGTCGATATTGAAGTACCCCTTATTGTCCGTCAAGGGCGCTTTTGGTTCAGCAGAGTTCCCTGTCACGGAGCGGCGCCTATTAGAACGCCGGCCGAGAGCTCGGATGCTTGCCAGAGGTTGATGAGACCGTTTACATTCTGATTAGACCTAGATCTAGTGTATTCGTGCTTGTGTTGTTTTTACCGCAGGAAAGTTCATCTGCCACAAGGGACCCTAGAAAGTGCGTGGGCAGGCCTTCATACGGCGAATCCTCTGAGTGAGTATGAGTTCTAGACTGTGGCGCATACTTAGCCTTGATGTCCTACTCTCGACTTCATGTGGGGCGGCTAAAGTCTCAACCGCTTGCACTAGCTACTGCAAGGACTGCATGATGAAAAAGCCTCAGTGCGGTTGATGAGAGTGGTTCAATTTGGTTCTATGAAAGTTCAACGAGATAAGAAAAGGTTCATCAATTCGTCAAAACCAAAAAAGTCCGCGATACCGCAAATAGCAAACAATCTTCTTAACCGGAGGCTGACATCCAAATACAAACGACACCCGACAGCACGTACAGTCTTGGTCGTGACGCTGCCCCTTGTGCCAAGATTATGTCTGAGGCATGTTGCCTCCTTGGTAAGGGACTCTATTCAGGCCGCCCTGGGCTCCATCTCTGTACGTGTAGCCTGGATGAGGGATGTCTCTGGGATCTGACTGTACTCTTGGAGTTGTGATCCGCATTGCGTCCGCCTGAAGCTCACTGCTGTACCCATACTGCATTGACTGCGGCTGAGCGGGACGATGGGGCAGAGGAAAACCATCGTGGCTCATACTTGGGCGTAGATGAGCCTCTCCAGAATGTGCAGGCTGCAGTCCAGCCTGCGGCGATTCGTACAGAGGAGCTTGCTGACTCTCCATCTGGAATCGAGTATCCGTCTGAGCCTGTTGGCCGTGCATCTGTTGATCATGCGCCGGTGAGTTCCCATAATCTCTGAAGCTACCACCTGGGGTTTGGTTATACGGAGCTGCGTTCCCGTAGCCTTGCGCTTGTGAGCTAGCTGTGCTAGAATATTGTCTCTGGTGGCGATGCTGGTCATGGTCAAATACTTCAGTCTTTGTGTTGAAGGAGGGTGACATGTCCGACAATCTGCTGTTAGCGTGGCGTGGCCGTCGGCGTTGTCCGGGACCTGGTCGGGCGTCGAACAGGCTTTGTTTCTCAAAGGGAGTGTTTTTCCTTGCACGGAGTCGTTGCTGGAATGCTCTGTCATCGCCTTCAGTGCCCTGAATATCAGCCAAGTACTCGCCAAAGTCGAGGTAGGCTTTTTGGACGACCTTGAAGTACTTGAGCTGGAGTGATACAGTGGCGGATTTGTCAATCTCCAAGCTGATTTCTGACCCATTCTTTTGAGCATCAAACTCGGCAAGTGCCAGTGCAGTATGGCAGGCATTGCGGATTTGCCGCCCATTCCATCGGTTATATGGTTGATCGGCGTAATGCTGACTGGCAAAGTCTTCAATTGATGATATGTCGAACGTGATCGTTCGACCTTGTTTCTTGAACCTCTGTTCAATGAGATCAATATGAAGTCTGAACACCTTCAGAGTCTTCAGCTCGTCAAGCTCCGGGTAGTGAAGACTCATTTGTATTCTCGAAGCGAAGGCTTCGTCGAGGTCCCCAATGCGATTGGTGGTGAGGAATAGAATGCCGGTATAGTACTCAAGAACCCGGAGGAAAACTGCGTTCAAGATGCTAAGTTAGGTTTGGGCTTGCCAACTTCAATAATGAGTTGATGTTGTGGAAGGACCCACCAGCAACCAAGCCGTTGCGAGCGAAATCATTTCTAGAACGCGCAGCGAGGAACACGTCTGCTTCATCAAGAAGCAGAATGCAACCCCATCTACTTGCTAGCGCAAAGCTTCTCTCAAGGTCTTTTTCAACTTCTTTGGCGGTGGTACCTAAGTCCCCTGATCGAAAGAGAATGCATTGTCAGAATGGACATACTGAAGGCTTCTAACATGGGTGGATCGCTACTAACCACAAGTAATCTGGAACAAGGGTTTTCGGAACAGCTCTGCAACCCCCTCTAGATTTTTATTAGCAAGAATGTTCAGATGTTGGTGTCCATCCTTTCTTTTTTGTTACCCACCCGCAGTAGTTGTTTTGCCAACGCCAGGAGCGCCATGCAACAACATAATCAATCCTTTGCCTATAAGCCCTACCGTCAGCACATACTGTGACAGTTGTACGTGAATGTTTCGGAAGGAAGCAGAAGAAGATGCATACCCTTTCCTTGAATCAAGTCTGTCTGTGTGTCTTTCGTGAATGAAGAATGTCTGTTGCGAAAGTGCTGTGTAACGAGAGATTGGACTAGCTCCCGATGACCCTCTGGCAACTCGAGTCGCTCGAAGGCATCTATAGTAAGATCTCTCGCACTAGAATTTTCATATCGTAGTAGAGTCAAGTCAAGCTGGGCTAATTCGATGAACAGAACGTCAGCAAACTTAAAGGAAGCGGCGGATATATTGCGAGTTCAAGTGATTAAATGGACTCTTACCCCATTTGCGACTTCGGAGCACAAAGCCAAAGACTCTATAAGTCATGATGAGAATCTCCGTCTCCGTAAGCTCCTCAATAGAGCCCAGCGTTTCCTCTAGAGACCTCGGCGATAAGATGAGTGATCGAGCTCTGGCGTCGGGTACCAGTGTTCCGATATAGTCCGTCGTCATCTTCAGATCGGTCGAGAATCCGTCATGTATTATGTGTCCCCGGCAGCATAATGCGCTGCATTCATCATCCCGTCGACCTTCTGGGGCAGTGTTCACAGGACCAATGGTAGGCTTCCAAGCTGCGGACCTCTCTTCATCTGCTAGCGCTTCGCTAAAGTCAACGACCACTTGGCTATCGATTTCATCCCCCTTGTCAAGAGTGGCCCCTGTGTAGTACATGGCCTTGAAGTCCGCTACTTCTAACAGAAGTCGACCCCTTCGAATGAGACTTTGCCGTGTCTCTTGTCCTTCAAATCGAACGGGGTAGATGAGAAGGGACCTGACTGGCTTCAGATCACCAAATGGAGGGATGATGAAAGCTTTCGAAACAGGGCCAAAGCTTTTCCCATCAAAGTCGATAGATGCGCAATGGAGAGTAAAGTGAGATCGATCTTTGGTGGTCTCTCCTTCGGAATCGTTCGCCAAGCTTTTGCTCCATCGTCCCCAAGGCTCTTCGATCTTGTGGACTGGGACCTCTACCCGAAGTACGACGAAGGCTTGCTTACCCCCCTGCTCAATAACTTCGGTGCCGGGTTTGAAGAGGTGCCATAAGTCATGAAAGCTTACATTACCGCAAACAGGGCCTTCGACGTACGTCTGTTTTGGCTTGATCTCATTATTCATAAATTCCACGAGACTGCGGAGATGTACCAATGCTGTTATCGAATTTGCCAATTTCGCCTCAAGGGCACTGGAGTCCCCCTCCTCGTCATCCGAGCCATTGCTGCTGCTCCCGGAGTCCTCATCTTCGCCGCCAGAATCCTCATCGTTATTTCCGTGGGGAGTAAACACATGAGACATATCGCTCTGTTCGAGATGCTCCGCATCTACCGATCTGCGTTTTTCGTCAGGAATTGATGCTGGCCGAGACAAGGAGCCTTCCGAAGCACCGCTTTTCGGAGCTTCATAAACTTCAGTAATGTGATTGGTGTTGGCCGCGCCGTCAAAGGTTTCTGTGACGTCCATTGACCCATCAAATCCCTCGAAGTCTTTTTCCAGACGAGTCAGCCACTGCCGCAGTTGTGCCTCATAGTAGAACAAGTCTTGGTAGGGGCGCAATAGCACGATGGAGCCACCCAATTCATTTGTCCACAAGGAGTCATTCGTCAACCGTGACATTATGACCATCAATGGGGCGGAATATATCTTGATTCTCTCGGGCAATGCCTGATTTCTGGTGGTCTCTTCTTCTTCTTCTTCGTTAATAGGTAGAGTTCGTTCAACTGGGCGAGGTTTGTGATCTTTGAACCCAGGAAGTTGCAAAATTGTTCGCGGTTCAGCTTCTCCAATGACGACTTCGATGGGATAAAGAATGGCCTCTTCAAATCCTGTGTCCATTATGAAGTCGTTCCAATCTGATTGGCTCAGCTTGGCGCGCTCTCCATTCAAAAACGCTTTCGTACTGATCTGCCTTGCCGATTCGGACTCAATGGCATTCTGTCTCCTCTTTCTTCTGTTTTCTCTGATTCCATCTCGCTCCTTCTCTATTTCGAGAATTGCCTGATATGATTCACGAATCCTCTGCATAAAAAACACACTATCTTTGAGAAATGTCAACTCTCCGTAGTATCTTCCCCAGCGAGAACTGTCCCGGCTAGAAAAAACACGGGCGAGGAACGGATCATGTTGCTTGTGCATTATCCCTTCTGTTGCCGACTTGTGAAGGTCGTACATTATGTCGACGAGACTAACTTTTGATTCAACCTCCTGAAGCCTCTCTTTGAGGTCTCGGACTTCCCTTGAGTCTTCCATGGGAGAGAAAGAAGCGTTTTCAGCTTTTGGGTCTGTCATGGCGGAGGGAGATGCCATCTCAGCGTCTGGTAGCTCTTCTTCCGCCGGGCGTGTGGGTTCCTCATCGTGTGATGCTTCCTCGTTGTCAGCTAGTAAAATCATAACAGGAAAATTGGGAGAAATACAATCTAAAGCCGGCGGGCAATCAGTATGTGTGCCCTCTCTCATGGTGAACGCAGGTCTTCCTACAGTATAGCGGTCTGTTCAGATTCATCGATCACCTGCTCTACAACAAACACCTTGCGGCCCACCAAGCAAAGTTTTGATCTGGCTTCACCTACGCTTGGGGCTTGTGAGCCATTTAATGAATGCTAGTCGTTCTGGAATCGCACGAATGAGTCCCAGAGCCATGCTTCCCCAGACCAGGCTGCGTCGGCTTAGGGCTAAGGCGCCGTCTACTCCCATCCACAACTGCGAGGGCTAAGTCAGAAACCCCTGATTACCCACTGACGGTTCATGTACCCTCCAATGATGCACTAGTTTGATTATCACGTATCTCGTGTCATTTTATGACTCGATGAGGCTTACCTGAAAACAGGTCAGGATTTGCATTTGCAGAGAGAGGTAGTCGATTGAGGGCCAGTAAACGAGAGGAACGCGTGCACAACACAAATGCATGTAATCAATATATGCAAGCCCTTTCCGAATTGTTCTATTCATAGCACATGTTTCTGCCAAGACTTACCTAGGTTTGTACGAGTAGCATCAAGCAAATGCATGATTTGTAATCACACGCTTTACTCGGGTGCACAACAGCCTGACACAGCCACCACGAAGCGCTGACTGAAGCTGCCATCCAGGCCTGGCCAGAAGCTGCATAACTTATATCGGATCATTTTCCTGGTATTAGGAAATCTTCGAAGTGCGTTGCCTCACTGAGCATGTATATTTGTGGCACTGTCAGACTGCACACCGGATCTTTGATGAGATCACATTCTGCAGGAGCTCAAGATGACTTTAGCCAACCATGAATGGTAACAACTCTTTCAATCGTTCGTCGGTTCGAACCCCACTCAGAAAGGACTCTCCCGCTATTAGTTTTATCGATAACAGACTGCCGTCCTACCATCCGGCTTTCAACACAGGAAAAGCACCTTTCGAATCGTCACAGGGACGTTATGTGGCTTTATCACCGCCCTCGACTAGAATGAATAACATTGTTGACTTGGTTCCTCGGCCTGGTGGACATTTGGACCAACCAGCGGCATTTCTACGTCATCAGCATTCGCCACGACCCGTGGCTTGTGATGCTAATGACATGTCCTTTTGGAGCGATATTCTTCCCCGGGCAATGGAGATGATTCAAAATGAGAATACCCCTTGTCCAATTTCAAAGACGCGTTGGGCCATACGGCAGTTTTCAACATGGGAAGACATACAAGATCAACTGGAATCCGCCCGAAACCATTATGACTTCTCCGACGGCAATAAACACGTTGGATGGGCTAGGGCTAAGATGCGAGGCGTTTTGGATAAGCACGTTGCTACTCTACAACAAGGTGCGAGGCTGGTCCCCGAGATAGACATTGCGAAGCCCGTTGTTGGGGCTATCAAACTAGTCTTGGATGTAAGTAAGATATGAGTTGTGCCGCCGTAATTTTCAAGGGACCTAACAAATTTTAAAGGCCTACAAAAAATCATCCGAAGTCAGAGAAGAGATGCAAACAAGCTTCGAGAACCTAGCTGAAGTATTCGAAGAGATCGACTTCTCTATGCGCACATACCCAAAGGACCAGAACATTGTCGTGGCGTCAACACACTTGATTCGCGCGATAGTAGTATCTGTGGAAAACGCAATTGAATTTTACACAAGTCATCAATGTAAGCAATAACCATATAGTGTGTGTTGGTTAGAGGTCGAGGTCAAAGGCTCACCCAGTCCGAATCCTTGGAACTCTGGACTTCCTAACTCGTTTATATAGTTGTGAGAGCCGCGAACGCAGCTTTCTCAGGATCAGATTACAAAAAGCTGCTTGTTCAGAATCTCAATGACGTCAAAGCTTGCTGCGCGTCTCTAGAAAAGCAATCGCAGAGATCATTTGCACATCGCGTAACCAACGGTATGCCCAAAAGACCCACAGCTGATGCTGAACAACCAAGACTAATTATTTGCGTAGACAGTGAGTATCTCAAGCATCAGAGTGCTCGAATGATATACCAGCAGCATGTGTCAAGTACATCTTTAGAGCAGCTGGTTGAAAACAGTCTGCGTTGCAATGAGGGTTTAGCCGACTTGAAGAATATCGTTTTAAGCCTATTAAGCGATCGACAGAGTACGTTTGTTGTCGAAATAGTTGAAAAAAGTGGCTAATAGTGATTCAAGATATTGTGAACGTGGGCCCGCACTCGAGAGTCCCTTCTCCGTCACCATCGCCCGTCACACCATTGTTAGGGCCACCTCGAGAAATCACATCATATTTGCGAATACCTCGAATAGATGACGAAGATATGCGGGATGTAGTCGAGAACTCTGGATTCATAATGCATGGGGACAACGGGAAGGCGCAGCAACTTCTCGAAAATCGTCTGTTCAGCAGTTGGATGTCGTTTCAAGGGTCGTCAAAGCTGTTGGTACACGACAATCTCGAACCGCCGTACGATATCACTTCATTTTCAGTGGTATGTACGCTCCTGACGCACATGCTGAGGAGGCCAGGCGGTACCAGCATCAGTCTTGTATTCTTTTGCGGGCGACATCTTGCCGGGGACGTCTACCATGGTGGCTCGGCCATGATTCGGTCTTTGATTTCCCAATTGCTGTTCCAGAGCGGCCTTTATCCTTTTCAATATGATTCGGAGTACTCTGTTGAGGATCTCGAGCGGGACGACATCGAATTCTTATGCGATATCTTCACCTGGCTTATTCTACGGCTGCCTGGTAACTCAAATGTGTTCTGTATAATAGACGGGATCAGTCTTTATGAGCAGAGATTCATGCAAGGCATGGATGCTGTCGTTTTGGCACTGGTAGAGCTTGTGGAGGACGACTATGACGGGCGAGCTTCTCTCAAGTTGCTCGTTACGAGCCCACAGCCGACGTACAAGGTCAAGAAGGCTTTTGACTCGCATCCAGCGGAGCTTCTTGATATGGAGGAACTACCCGTCGTAGGAGATGGCTTAGGCCTTCTCGGTCTTGGGGAGCGACTGGCATCGGATATGGAAGTTAGGCATGATTGGATGCGGAATAAGGGCCCCCGATGACTTCCTCGTTCGGGTCGGAAATCAGCAGCGCGCAAGAGTCAATGCCTGACATGCCATTATTTGCCAGTAAGGGGCAAATGGCCTGTTGTACGGAATTATCGTGAAGCTTCTCATATCTAATCCGTACTACTTCGCCAGTATCAAAGGGACTCACATCGCCATTTGGGCCGACTCGGCGGTCAAGTAATCTCGCATAATGGTGACTGGGTAGAGCCTCAACACGGACAGGCAGCAGTTATGAGTTCACTCTTCTTATTCGGCGTCAATAAGAATATCAATGAAAAGCCCAGCTTAACATTGAGTACCATTATATCGAGCCACAGTCTTACAAAACACCTTTGGTTATCGCTAGTGAACCTAAACCTAGGAGAAATGCCTCTTTTTATGCTGCTCATCCACCGATCCAGCTAACACGTACGGCATTTAATCCAGATACATTGTTTTACCTGAACTCTCAAGGAGGGCAGTAATGTTTATGATCCTTCTTCTTTTGCCAAGCTCCAACACATGGGATATTGATATATCCTACTTTTTCCTCCAATTGCGAATTCCGACACCAGGTACTTTATGCGGGTGCCGGCATTTCCGTCGGAATTTTTGTGGCCACACATAGTCGCCGTCGGAATTAGTAAGTCAGTGTGAGAACGTCGGAAATTTCCCCCTTGACAACAACATGGGATCTCCGACGCCATAGGTCCACAACCGCGAAGGAACAGCTTCGTATAACATCGAGTGTTGCTGAAAATTTTAAATGATGTTAATTGAGAAGGCGTGAATATCTGCCAAGAGCTCGGGGGGAGCAAGAAGTATCTCACAAGACAACTCGGATTCGAACGTTCCTCTACAATGGCATACCCAGAAGGAAACAGAACTTGGCAAATCATTCATAACGCCAAAAAAGGAGGCTATGGCGTCGGAGGCTTCTGTGTGTATGTATCTACCAACACTCAGGTGGTCTTCAATATAGAATTAATTTATGACCAGGTACAACACTGAAGGTGTTCTAGCCGTGATCAAGGCCGCTGAAAGATGTCGCTCTCCGGCTCTAATCCAGTTCTTCCCCTGGTCGATGCATTTCCAAGGGCCTGCCTTCATCAAATTCGCCGCTGAAGCAGCCCATGCTGCATCGGTGCCAATTGCGGTCCACCTCGATCACTGTTTAAAGCCGAGCGACGCCGATATGGCATTGGAATGTGCCTTTGATTCAATAATGGTCGATGGTTCTATGTTCGAAGAGGAGGAAAACATTCGATACGTCAAGTCTGTCGTGGATAGAGCTCGCGAAAAGAACATGACCGTTGAGGCGGAGCTAGGAAGGATGGAGGGCGGAGAAGACGGGCTTCCGACCGTCGACCTCGAGAGCGTATGGACGGATCCGGGTCGCGCCGCCGAATTTGTCAAGCAGACGGGGGTTCATTTCCTTGCGCCCAGCTTTGGCAACGTCCACGGACCGTATCCCCCTGGAGGCGCAGAGAAACATTGGCAGCTTGATAGGTAAGCTCACAACCAATGCTCCGGTGCTCGCTGGTTTCTGGCTAACAGTCGTGTCGTAGGTTAGAAAAGATTCATGAAGCTCTTGGGGAGGCGACGCCGCTGGTTTTGCACGGCACGCACCCGCTGTCAGACGAAATGGTCAAGGTGGGCATGGCTAAGGGAATGGTCAAGGTGAACCAGAACCGCAACGTGCGCAATGGTTATCACAAGTACTTGGAGGAAAACTGTTCCATGGTGGAACTCACAACACTGCAAGTTCAGGGAGTTGAGGAGTATGCAAAGGGTGTCGAACGCTTGATGGTCGAGGTGCTCGGGTCGTCTGGTAGGGCGTAGAATTGCACTGCTTTGCTGGAGCGACAGGGCTTTTGGCGCGTTCTAGGTTCAACATAGCGGGCTTGACAATCGAGGCGTGCATACTTTGCCATTCAGAAGGAAGACTGGTAGAATGTAAAGACTATCTTCTCATTTTATATCGGGTTAAGCAAGATGTGCAATATTTCATCTTGGCTAAACATGCAGAAACTGGACCGTTCAGTGTTTCGAACCACTATCTCATCTTACAGCGTCTCGGGCCTACGGCGATCGTAAACACGCCCCGGCTGAAGCAGGAACCCATGCAGTGGGGCAAGCTCAGCGATTAAATTCCCGGCCGCCGCGCTGCAAATGCGGGGAGACGTCTCTCCTCATCTTCGATCGTTGATCTTGCCCCTTCACTGTCGCCGATGACAAACGCATCGTGAACCGATTGAAGTAAGAGACAGTTCTGCATCTTCTGTGCAGTAGACAAGCATAATGGAGGATGAACATCAATCTACTCCAGTCTCAACCTCAACCACCAAAAAGAAATACGTCACTCGGTCAGTACCTGACCTTAATCACACAGCTCTTCTTTCCGGCAAGATGTTAACAATGCTGCAGGGCTTGCGAGTTGGTTTCCCGTTTTCCCAGTCTGCTCCGCCTATCCTTCCTGTTTCTGACAGCCTTCAAAGTGCCTGCAAGAAAAGGAAGTCTAAATGCGATGGTCGCGAGCCTTGCGGCCGTTGCCTGAGTTCTGAAATAGGTGCAGCTCGAACACGAGTCTTCCACTCTGCTTCAAAGCTAATCACTGCGTTGTTCACACCAGACTGTACTTACGTCTCGTCATACAATCGTGTCCAGAGGTTGAATCCGGTAATAGGGGCCAAACGGAGAGGACTGACCCTACAAACACTGATAAGGCAAATAGCAACGCCGAGGCCGCGTCACAGCCGGTAAAGCAAGAACATCCTCCAGAACCGCTGCCAAGTCATCCAATGCCAGCAATTCTTCTCAAAGGACCGAAGAAGAAAACCAAGATCCGCACACTGAGAATAGCCAGTCGATTCCACCGACCCCTGCCCGGTTGGCCTCGGAAGGGGATGCCAGTGCTCATGGCTTTCTTCGCCGCGTCTCGGACCATCTTGCCAAAGTCGGCCAAGGTCTCCCCCGAAGTCTATTCAACAGAGAACAAGATCTCTTGGATTCGAACGATCCCTCAATCTTCTCCCTTCCGCCAAAGACCATCACCCAGGGATACGTCGATTGTTTCTTCGATCATGCTTCCGTAACATATCGATATGTCTCTCGTCGTGAAGTCGTAGACACATTCGAAAAGGTATATGCCGACGATCAATCAGTCACAAAAGACCACGACCGGATGGCAGTGTTGCTTTCGGTCATGGCCATTGGGTAAAGTTTCTTCCTCAACACGTACGGCAGTATAGATATTAATCGAAAGTAAGATGCTTATGTATGTCATCCTGGAAGAACGAACCATTGCCGCCTTGGAGACAGAATTCGTGCGTTAATTGACCTTGAGAATCACTAGAACAGCATTCGCTAACTTTTAGATAGATACAAGTTTCTACAGGCTGCTGAAACAAGGCTCGCAAAGACTCAAGGTCAATTTCCTCCTTCCATGAGACACATTCAAGCCGTCATGCTGAAGGTTCGTGCGTTTCCACACTTGTCACAGACTCGGCTGATCAGCTTCCAGTGTCAATTTGAAGTGGGATCTGGTCGCTTCAACAGCGCCTGGATGTCACTAGGCTGCGCTGTAAGACTAAGCCAAATGGTAGATATCCACCGGAAACAGAAACTGTGTGATCCCATCGAAGGTCACTTCAGGCGATGCCTTTTTTGGGCTATGTTTATGATTGATCGGTGAGTATTATTTCTCCCTCCCTGAAGACTCGAGAAGTAGCTGAGCATGGAATTCCCTCGCTATAGATACCTCGCTGCCATTCTCGGTAGACCGATGGCGATACATGATTCGGATGTTAACATGTCATATCCGCACGTTGTAAACCCCGCCGTCGAATGCTACCTTTCAACGACTGAGAAACGGTTAATCACAGGAGTTGTTGCTCATGCCAGGCCAGTGTACTCAAGCTAGTAAGCCATATGGCTTTTCTAACTCTTCCATGCAGACTGACCAAGATACTTGGGCTCGCCATTTCCAGACTTTACCTCGGAGCAGTCCACACGCCAGAGTCTCAAGAGCAAATTGTGACCGAGCTGGAACGAGAAATTGATGATTGGCTCCGAGATACCCCTGATTTCTTTCATCCCCGGCAAGAACAGGAAAAGGGCGGGGATCAAGAGTTCTACGAAGTTTCGTGGGTGTTGCGGAGGCAGCAACGAACCACGCAGGCTGCGTTTCTTTTCAACAAGATGATGATATACCGAGGCTACCTGCTCCGAGAATTTCTCGATCAGACGCCGAGTACGCCGTCCTCGAGCTCCTGCTCTGGTCGTATCAGAGCATGCGTTGACAATGCCCTTGCAATGGTGTCTCTTGCGACCAATGTGGGCGCAGATGAATGCAAGTACAACGCCGCTTTCTGGGTGAGTAGAAGCCTTCTTGGTCTTACCGAGTGATATTGACACAGACACAGACAACCTCCCACTTTCTCTTCTGCGCCACATCAATTCTTCTCGTCTATTGCATTCTTTACCCAGACTCTGATGACACGGATAAGGTTCATGCGGCGATTGAAGACGCTATGAAGGTGCACCGAGAGCTTGATTATGGCGCTCACATTAACGATCAAAAGCTACTTGAAGTACGTCTTGGATATTTCTACTTAAGGCTGGATTGATTGTCTGATGTTTGCAGGAATCCTGTTCGCGAGTCCACATTGTGAGGCATATGAACTCAACTTCACCAGTCGGCAATGCCGAGGTCGTCATGCAAAGTGGAAATTCCCCGTGGAGCCACTCAGACCAAGTTTCTATCTCGAACTTTTTGACGTCGCAGACATTATCAGAAAATCAAATTGTCCTCAACGACAACATGCAGCAAATGTCTGCGCCTACATCCCATTCTCAAACGAGGCCAACCGATATCTCCATGTTTGAAATGTCGGGAACCATAGAACCAAACCATTTACCGCTTGGACAGCCACACACAGGAGTCTTCGGAGAGCAACAAGGTTTCCAATTGACTTCTTTTGGATCTGTCAGTGATTTTGATATGATTTTGGACATAGGCTTCGACAATACTCCAAATACTACGAGAAGGGGACCGGGTCTGGGTTAGCCTCGAAAAGGCAACTGTAGAGTGTTCTTATTTGCGTCTTATCGCTTAATGTTCAACCGGTAGACGAAGTGATACCGCCGTCAACCACAATCTTCTGACCCGTGATGTATCTGGATTGTGATGAGGCCAAGAACAGAGCCGTCATGGCGACATCGAATGAGTCACCCATCCTGCCCATAGGTACAGCTTTGTTTCTCTTCGCTTTGAAGCCCTCAACATCGCCACCAGCATACTTGTCGGCTAGCATACCAACCAGAGGTGTGTTCATGAGACCGGGCACGACCACGTTCATCCTGATATTCTTGGATGCGTAAATGACCGCCGTGGCCTTAGTAAATTGAATGACGGCGGCTTTGCTGGCGGCATATGCAACTTGGGGCTTGCCGATATACCGCAGACCGGCAATCGACGCCACATTTACCACAGCTCCTGAGCCTTGTTTCTCCATCAGGGGAAGAATATGGTGACAACAGAGGTAGACAGACTTCAGGTTGACATTGGTCTGAGCATCCCAGACCTTCTCTGTCATCTCAGCGGGGCCACCCGGCTCTGATCGGCCAACATTGCTAAAAGTTTGTTAGCACACATCCTTTTCATGGTAAGGGCTCAGTTCTCATACTTAATCAGGATGTCGATACGGCCGTGCTTGGCTAAGCATGCGTCCACAGCCGACTTGACACTCTCGTCATTTGTGACATCAGCGGCCACAACGGTCACGTCCCCGCCCTCAGCAACAATACGCTTTTGCGTGTGTTGGGCAGGCTCCAGGTAAAGATCACAGCCGAAGATCTTGGCTCCTTGCTTGGCTAGGAGGCGTGATGTGGCGGCTCCATTCCCCCACATTTCCTGATCGCCTGACTGACCAATACCGGTAACTTTTCAAGTTTTCATACCAGGTCAGTGTGGTCTCTGGCTTTTTCATAAGAATATAAACTTACGGAAGACAATTTTGGCCCTAAGATCCGGGTAGGAGGCGATGACGATATCGTCGTGGGTGCCGTTTTGAGCCATGATGACAGCGATAAGAGGTCACAATGCAGTATGGAAATCTGGATTGGATGTTGAAAGATTTCGATCACTAGAACAGTCTTTATACGTAGGCGGCAGTAATCTGTCGCATATATGCTCTTCCGGCGATGATGAGCGAGGGGGCCCCCAAGTATCCCGACCTCGGAACAGGTTCGTCAGAAAGCATCCGCCAAAGCACTTATCTCATGGCTTGTCAGTGAGGTAGAAGACTTTTCTTCGGAATTTTCTAGCTAAAAAATAGCATTGTCACAGTTTAGGCTCAGTTAATTCCGTTGATTCATCCAGGCAGAGGTCAGTTCGGTGGATAGCCGTCTCTCTCGGCAACAGTCTGGGATGTCTTGTTCACCCCAATCGGCTGATGAATATGTTACACATAGTTGAGCTGTCCCGTTTATTCCCTTGAATCCGATCCGCGATGAAGTCACCTTTTCAATAAAGATTCCGCTCACAACATGATTTCCGACATCTCCGATATGAGTCGTCGGAAAAGATAGCCACCTTAGATTTACACCCGAGACTTGTTCCGACAGCGTCCCAATCCCGACCTGTCATCGTAGTATGCGCAACCATCCGAAAGAAATTGGCTACGATGCCAGCAATCATCAGAAATGCTGCTCCCTGGTCACTAGCTCTCGGATCAACCCCACGGGGTGCTCGACGCCCCGGTTTGCTAGTCCACCGCCTTACCGGGATTGCTCTGGGATTGCTCTGGGGTAATTAATGACAAGGACTCAATGAGACTGGATGAGAACTACAAAAATGCCGCCGTCCCATTTCCTGCATCTCCATCATCGCACTATGTGTTGAAGCGAACTTACGCCGTTTTGAGCCGTTCTAACACTCCAAGACACATTCACGTTTTGACATTGTCGAGGGCTGATTTCACACAACTTTGTCTTCGAGATGTCGGAACGACGACCCGAGGCTGTCGAGCCCATCTCTGATGCCGCTTCCATCGTTGACAAAGGGAGCGATTTCGTCCACCAGGAGGTAGTTGGCGAACTCACTCCAGAAGATCAAGCATTCCTTGACAACTTTCCCGAAGACCGGAAGAAGAGAGTGATGCGAAAGGTCAATTCCTCTTCTCTTTAAGTGCTTTGAGGATTAATAATTGACCCCTTGTTGATAGCTTGACTGGCGTCTGGTTCCACTGCTCGGGTTACTCTATCTAATTTCGTTCCTTGACCGAGCCAACATCGGCAACGCCAAGATCGAAGGCCTGCCCGAGGACTTGAATCTCACAGGACAGCAGTACAATATCGCCCTTTGTGTTTTCTTCATAACATACATCTTGTTCGGTATGGCCACTAGTCAGCCCTCGTCACAGCTTATTTACCGCTGACACTTCATTTACTTCAAAAGAGGTACCTAGTAATATGCTCCTCCTGAAGTTCAAGCGCCCCTCAACCTACATGGGCATTTTGGTCACAGGATGGGGCACCATCATCACCCTGACCGGCCTCGTACAGGACTTTGAAGGTCTAGTCGCAGTCAGAGTCCTTCTTGGTGTGTTTGAGTAAGATAAACCTACGATTTCGGTCGATCTTGAATAGCACATACTGACAATGGACAATCAACAGATCCGGCTTTTTTCCCGGAGCGGTCTACACTATATCGAGATGGTACCTCCCACACGAGACCCAAACGCGAATCGCAATATTCTATAGTGCCAGCGCTCTAGCCGGCGCTTTCTCCGGCCTTCTTGCATTTGTCATCGTGCGGATGGATGGACTCGCTGGCATCGCGGGCTGGCGGTGGATTTTCATCATAGAAGGGATCGCTTCCGTCGTCGCTGGCGTTGCGACCTTCTTCTTACTTATCGACACACCTGCCCTCTCAACAAGGTGGCTGGACGCTGACGAGAGAAAGTACCTTGAACTGCGTCAGTATGCAGTTCAGGGCAATAGCATACGTGTGAGAGAGGCTGAGAAGACACGCAAATGGGAAATCCTCCGCTCCGTTCTGCTCGACTGGCAACTTTACCTTCAGGCCCTGGTTTACTGGTCCAACACGGTACCGAATTTTGGGATGAAATTTACAATGCCCCAGATTATCAAGAACATGGGGTACACCAGTAGCAACGCCCAACTCCTAACCATTCCTCCGTACATCGTTGGAGCCATCTCCGCCTACGTTTCCTCGTCGCTTTCCGACAGGTTCAAGTGGAGGATGCCTTTCATTGTCTTTGCCCAAGTCTTGGTTCTGATATCGTTTGCCATATTGTTCTCTAAAGCGGAAAACATCCAAGAGAACATCCCGGCTTGCTACTTTGCGATCTTCCTGGCCAGTATTGGCTTCTACCCAATCAACCCTGGCGGCAATGCTTGGACCGTCAACAATCTAGCAGGACCTACGAAACGCGCTCAGGGAATTGCCTATGTGATCTGTCTAGGGAGTATCGGTGGGATTGTGGGCAGTTTCATCTATCGCGAGGACGAGAGCCCGAAATACCCAACGGGGTTTGGTTCGTCATTTGCATTCGCTGGACTCGGTGTCGTCGCTTGCTTTGTGTTGGAGTTCCTATTCTGGAACATCAACCGCAAAAGAGACAAGTTTACTGAGGAGGAAGTCAGGGCCAAGTATTCGGATGATGAGCTCCAAATGATGGGAGATAGGTCGCCTCTTTTTAGGTACACCTTGTGAGGAAAGCACTTTTGGACATCATTTTGACCAGGGCCCACTAGCCCCAGCAACGAAATATCCTGGCCGTCTTGCTATCCGGCCCGGCAATTCCAGCTCGCCAGACGTACGACTACCTCCATGGAGTGATCATGTACCCCTACCAGTCAGTTTCTTTGAGGAGGAATATAGATTCAGATTCCAGAAATGTTCCACTATACTTCTTGTTATTGTCGTTACTGCTATGGTCGTTGATGTCGTCGTCAACGGCCTCTGCTATAATCACTGACCGTCCAGATGGCCGGAGATACACGTGTGCAATGGAAAATCCCTTGTAAGGTGCAGACTCGACATGGGACATCCTGCGAGACGAAACTCAATTCAAAAATACGTAGTGTCCTCTCGAGGCTCTTCACGATGACAGCCTCGCTACTCTAAATGGTACAATGGCTCGAGCATAGCATCCTTCTGAAAGAACAGATATCTCTTCACCACCCAAGGAAGCCATGTGCGGACCTGATATGCTGCATGGCGACGGGTAGGAACCCCAAATATGTAGTCAAGCTCTTCCAAGGTGCGTTGTCTGTAGATAGATATCAGCATATAGTTTGCGAAGAAAGATGGACGGTCACTTACTTGGTTTCTGGGATGATGAAGAAGATGACGAAGAACGCAAGCAGATTTAGACCAGCATAGAAGCAAAATGCACCGGTTGGTCCGATCTTGTGAAGAAGTTCGGGAAACGACAGCGTGAGGGCACTTCCGACGGCGTTATTCACACAGATGGTGAAAGCCGAGCCAATTTCGCGATGAGACAGCGGGAAAGCCTCGGAGAAGTAAATTGATGGTAGTGGGCCAATTCCTGGTAATGGTAAGCAAATCATGATATGGATCCGAGTCAGAAATATCGGGCACTTACCAGGTCCGTACATCGCCGTGAAAAGGTAAATGAAGAAGGCGATCAGTGGCACCCTCGCACTTGACCCTGTGTTCAGCAAGAAGCTCAGCCCAGCTGCTAGGAGGCAAAAGGCCATTGACGGGAACGTGGCCAGCAAGAGGTTCCTTCTCCCAAAAGTGTCCATCATGTATACAGCCGGGAATGCAAAGAGGAACATGATGAGACCAAAGCCCATGGAAGCCAGAAGGCAGTCTTTATCTGAGTAGCCTGCTTGCTGAAAGATCGTAGAGCTGTAGAACGCCATGATGTTGATGCCTGAGAACTGCTGAGAGATGACGATCCAAGATGAGGCGACAGTTGCTCGACGCAAGCGGGGCACAGTCAGGAGTTCCTTCATACGGCGGAGGAGTGTCTGTCCGCCAAAGGCATTGTTCTCCTCGATGACTTGCCGATGTGCGTAGTACAGGTCACGGGCAGCCATCATCTCAGTATTTCGGATTCGGCAAAATGACTTGAATGACTCCTGGTATCGACCCTTTTTCATGAGCCAGCGTGGAGATTCTGGGTGACTGTTAGTCCATAGACTCTTGGAATTTGATGACAGTCGGTCACTTACCTGGACACATCCAGACGAAGATAAGAACAGGAATGGCGGGAGCAAAAGCAGCAGCTAGCTGGAACCGCCATGCAAGATCTCCAATGCGGTACCAGATCAGGTTGGAGCAGAAGCCAACAAAGATACCAAAGGCAACCCACAACTGGAAGCTCGTAACGATGCCTCCACGAATTGCAGCAGGGGCAACTTCGGCTGAGTAAATCGGGATGGTTGAGATCTTGATGCCCATGCCAAGGCCCATGAAGAGCCGACAAATCATCAAACCCCACCAGTTCTGCGTAAAGGCCTGAGCGAGTACTGGGAACACGCAGAAGAGGCCAGTGAGGAAGATGGTTCCCCGTCGACCAAGGTAGTTGTTGATTGGGTCTGCTGCCCAAGCACTCAGCAGACCAAACAAGGTCGGACCGGCGTTGATGACTCCAACAAGCGCTTGGTTGTTCTCGATGCCGAACTCCTGAGGGAATGAGAGGTTGGCGCCATTGGCACCTGTGTTGTCCCATCCCTGGATTGCGGAGCCGAGAGAGCACAGAGCGATGCTGTAGTAAAGGTCCTTGGGAAGATGCCACTTATGCGTGACCTCGCGGTGAAGGACATGCTTATCGTCTTCGGTGAGGTCGTCGATACTCTCATAATTCTCAGGGTTTTGCGCAGCGAGCGCCCCACGGTAGAAGACGTTCTCTTTCTCTTCGAAGCCAAACTCACGACAAAAGCCAGTGACTTGAACTCGGAGATCTGAACTAGAGATGCCGATCAGAGGATTGCGGATCCTATGGCTGGAGGTTAGCTTCATGTCAGCGTCTCAAATGGTCGACCTCTCACTTTGCGTTGATATTCCGTGAATAGTCGGCACCACTGTGCTCGACATGGCTCACATCGAGCTTGGACTTCACATCGCCCTCGACGTCAGAAACACGAGACATGATGATACTCTTGGTGTTGAACAAAGCGCAGAGGAATCATTGAAGAGAGCTGTCAATAATGCTAAGTTTTCTACGTCGTGAAGTTAAAAGTCCACGGAGGCTCTTATATAACCCACTCCAACTCTTCCGAAAGCATCCTTGCCCACTTGTCGTCCCCTCCCCCATGGGGTAAACTGGATCCAGCTCGCTCCCGAGTGTTCGTCACCAACGTCAGACCAACAAGCATCAATCGGCTGTTGAACGGGTGTTGCGAATCCTTCGGCCCCTTGCCCCGTGACCAAAATCTGCTGTCGCAAATGGCCTGCGCAGGGCCGAACGACAGCGATGTTTGTTCGAAACCTGGGGATCCTGCGGGGTTGCGCTGTGTGTGTCCATGAACTGGACGGGTTGGAGGTCTTGGAGACGAGACTAGGACGCACTAGTAGACTGCCCTGCACAGGCGCTAGCTTCTTGTCCTGTGCAGGGCATCATGGATGAGTGCCGGTTGCAAACTTTGTCGTCTGACTTCTTGGACCTGCCCAGTAGCTCTGAGCCGGCAATCGTTCACCGAGGTGGGGTAAGATGTCACGGCCAGCATCATAGCTCCCTGAGCTGTTTTCCGGGTTTGTCAATTGCATCTGCCCAACACTACCTACACAACTGCCCCTAAATGCATTCATGAAATTCTGCGAGGCTATTGGGATCTACCTCAAGAGGAAAGCCGTCACGCAAGCTGTCACACCACTGGTCAGTGTTTGGGGGCAGGAAATAACATGGTGGTATTCCGGGACATTTACCCCAGAGTATCCTCTTTGACCCCCACCGGCCTCCAATGTGTGATCAGACGATGACCGGGGTGCACCCTAGAAGGTGCGGGGTCCCAAATGCCCTGCGTGTGTGCTCCCGCTGCCCTGTGTGTGGCATCCTGAGGGGGCTCTGGGGATGTCTCATCATTGGCCAAGTGATTCTCGGAATGGACTCGTTGAGACGCCCGATGACGAAGAAAACAGACACACGCAGGGCGTCGTGTGTTCGTCCTGTACAGGTCCAAAAATCAGACGGGCCGGTGGGGTGAGGCATGATATTAAAGGAGCTATCTTGTACGTATTCTAGCAATGCAGATGGACAAGCTCGAACAATTCGATACCGAAACAATACCTCCACTTACAACGAAATCTCAATTGCGAAATTTTACACGATGGGAAGCAAAGGCGCCATGACCTGGCTCGACAAGCTCGAGGAGCAGCGTGCGTCACACAGCAATGTCCTCATGCCAACACTCACGTGCTAACGTGAATAGTCAACGTTGACGTCGATTGGATGGACCCTGAGTACATCAAGAGCATGCCCATCGTCCCTCACGACCAGACCAGCAACCAATTGTGGGTGGACATCCAGCTCGGTGATGCTTCGAACAGGGACATGTTCCTCGAGACTGCGAAAGAGCTGAAGAATGAGGGTTGGCTTGCGATCTATACGCGCATGGTATGTCGACCACAATGCAATCAGTTGCAGACTACAGGGCTGATGTAGAACCACAGGCCGTCCTCATGTGCAAGAAAAACATCAACTCCATTCGCGGCCGTGTCTTGCTGCAGACCCTTCCCTCAAACGCGTTTAAGACACAGGAGACCCTTGACCACGCCCGCCTCTACGACCGAGAGTTCGCCCGCGCAGGCATCGGACGCGATAGATATTGCATCAAGATCCCCTCCACCGGCCCTGCCCTCAACGCTGCCAAGATCCTGTCTTCTGAGGGAATCCCGACGCTGGGCACAGCCCTCTTCAGTCTCCCCCAGGCCATCGCCTGCAGCCAGGCCGGCATGCTGTACATCAGCCCGTACTATAATGGTAAGTTTGCGCATGAGATGCACGTGGAGTGGCGCTGACTTGAGAACCAGAGGTGAGAGCTCATGACGAGCCAGACACTCTCTGGCCCAACGTCGAGGATCCAGCGACGCAGCACCCCATGTCCGCCCGCATTGTCCAGATCATCGAGACATACAAGCGTCTGTACAAGGAAACCGGCAAGGAACAGCCTTTGGTAAAGAACGCCAGCTTCATCTCCGCGAAGGAAGCCATGGCAGCAGGCGAAATGGGCTGCCATTCCGCCACCATCTCACACACCGTTCTCGACCAGCTGGCCAAGCTTGAGTACGATGGTACCAAGCAGCCCGGCGAGGGTACGCCCAAGCCGGTGCACGTGTACAAGAACGCCGGGCCTTGCCCTGAGCGTCTCAAGAAGCTTGCCAATGTCGACCCCTTGGCGGCTGCTGAATGGGACGGCAAGCTCGCAAGCACCGACATTGACTACCTGGCCAATGGAGGTGCTGAACTGACGAAGGCTATTGAAACTGACCCCATCTCCACGACCCGCCTTGCAGACGCCCTAAAGCTCTTCATTGGTGGCGAGGAGAGAAGCAAGGCCAAAGTTGAGGAGGTCCTGAAGCAGATCTAAACTGCGATAGCGTCAAGCACAGTAGCATGAGCATATGATAGACCCTGAATAGATCATCCTGGCCAAGAAGCCCATTGTTGTTGCTGCTGCTGTTGCTGCTGCTGTTTCTGCTGAAAATGCAGGTCTTGATTCGCGACCGATGGCCCGAGAAAGGCAGGCGAAATAGGTACCTGTGAAGGATCCATACCGTCGAACGTGGGCGTCCCAGTCGATGAGAAGTCCATGAGCATACCATTTTGATACATTCCTTGCCGATCATGATCGATTCCTCTGAGAAGCTGGTAATCATTGATGTTCGTATTTGAAACAGGCATGGATTCTGACGGGGCGTTGGATGACATTGCTGTGCCCTGGTCCGGCATAGCTAAGCTTTCCATAACTGTTCCTGAAAAGATACGAACCGACGGTGACTCGGTTTCTTCTGGCCAGGATGTATCAAGCAATAGATTGTTCAATTCTGATACCGCGCGAGCATCTTGTGTGGGCTCCGAAGGTAGAACTCGAGGGACCTGAGCGGCTTCGTCTGTCTGGTTGTTTGTCGATGACCCAGCTTGCGAGTGTTCGTCGGTAGGCCCGCCAGACTGCTCAGAGCTCTTCCTGGTCGGTCGGCCCAATTGCAAGGCGACGCGCCGTCGCAACTCTCTCTCTGTCTCGGCAAATGCGTCCATATTGACGTTGAGTGGCCTTGGCTGCCGCATCAGGGCGCCATTGTTTCTCCTCCAATTATTCACCTCGTCAAGGAGCTCCTCACGCTCTTGTAATAGAGAGTTAATACACTGGAGCGCATCGTTGCATCTACTCTCTAAAAGCTTATGCCGAGCAATGCTTTCGTCGATGACCACATGCTTCGAGAGGCGCTGGGGATCGGTGTCTGCTAGAGCTGGTAGATTGGCAGCGAGCTCCTGTCATCGATTGGCGTTAGCAATTCTGGTCTGGATGGATATTATCCGTCAGAACAACATACAATCAATCGCTCTTTGAAGGCTTCGCGACGGCCCTTCTCGAAGATCCGATGCGCAGCTCGGTCGTCGGCGGTAAAGTTTCGAACGCGTTTCTTGGGCGCCTTTTTGCTCGGAATCGTCTCCGGCGGCGCGGTCGCAGTCGGACCAGGCGTAACTGTGTCTTGCGCGGTCGTGTTCATGGGGGTCAATCACCGTCCGCGGCGGTTCTTGATGAAGCGGTCTTCCATTCAGCAGAGTCGGGGATGTTTGTGGTGCGAAGGACGCAGGTTAGAGCTCGGGAGGAAGCTCTGATGTATCTGTTGGATCGGGTCGAAACACACAACGAGAGGGGTCCTCGTGGTTTGTTGTTCAGGTGAGGAGTAAGGCCGTCGTCCGATCGATGACCGAGGAAATGAAAGCGTCCCTGTGCCGCAGCATTGCCTGCAGCTCTTCTCAGGGATCATGGCAGTGACGAGCCCCTTGTAAGACGAGCTGCTGAGACCCCGCACGCATCGAAGCTGAGCTCCTCCAATGCCTAATTGAGTATGCCGCCGGCCGAAGCTTGGCGCCTAGCTTCACCGACCTTGTCCGTGTCTGGGGCTCAATCCACATTCCACAACCCGCGAGGGCTTGATGAACAAAGAAACAGTCATTCATCGAGCGTGAACCCGTTTTTCCTGCACATCGGACGCCGACCGAGCACGAAACCGGGCCTCGGAGGACCCTTCGGCGTCGGCACGGCCCCGCTCGGCTCAAACACCGCGCGGATCGTCATTGGGCGGTCCGGCTGAACTTGGAACGCGCAATACATGTATCGTTGAAGTCAGATGGCAGGCTATTCAAATCCATTGGGTTTTCTATTGACTTCTCGGGTATTCTCAGTCTGATATACGGGGCACCAGCTGAAACAGCCCTATTCAACTTTCATCACCCGCTTGGCTGCAACAGTACGAGATTGCGAGCCACGGGCAGCAACTATTCGTGGCTTACTCGCGGCCAAGAATTCTCGATATGTTGTCCGCGGCAACTTCGCCCGTCTCATATGCTCCATGAACACAGCCCGTTCCGGTACGGGAACAGTGCTCACCGGCAAACTGTAGCCGCAAGTCCTTCTCAGCCTCCAATGCATCCCATAAAATTCGCGGGTCGTCTCCAACCTTCGCACTGGAGTATGTGCCGTTGCCGGCAAATTCGTCCTTAGTCCAGGAAGTGACCTTTGCATCCACCATCTTCGGAAGCGATTTATAGGGCTCGCTTCTGAATAGCTCTAGCAAGGGCTCAAAGTAGGCAAATAGCTCATCCGGATTGCCGCTCATGGATTCAATTTCGTAAACAACGGGAGGAGATAGCAGGATGCAAAGTTTCTTTGCACCGGTCATGACCCACAGGTTGGTGGCCGTGAAAGAGTAGGAAAGAACCGGGTATTTGTTCTTCTCGCTGTCCTCGTCCAAAGTAGCCGGTGTTGGGAAATACACCAAGTTGTCGTTTTGTTTGGACCAGAAGACGTCTGTGAACTCGAAGAACACCTTGCCGAGTGTGCCGTAGCTGGTCCTGGACATGCCCATGGCGATACTCTTCGGAATGGAAGGCTCAAACATGATCTTGTTCTGGTGCAAGACACCAAGTGGGACGGTCACAACAATAGCGTCGCCGTCGAAAACGACGGGTTTCCCATCAGGACCATGGGCATGAACTGAAACTGGTGAAGCGCCCTGCGACCGACTCCACTCGATATTCTGGACAACATGGCGCAGCTTCAGAACGCCCGGCAGATCACGGACTGGCTGAGCAACGTGGTGCACCACGCGATCGTAGCCACCCTTGACGTACAAGTCACGTTGAGGAGGCAACATGTCATTCAAGAATCGGGATGAGATCTCACCAAGAGCCAGACCGAGGGTTGACTCGACAATGCGCAGCGCTTCCGGCGCCCAGATCCGCTCGTCATCGGTGATAAGCTCATGCTGTCCGACGAACTTGCGAATGTGTTCCTCGGCCGAATAGTCCGGTCCGTCGGGGTTCTTCTGGATCCAATAGTGGAGATAGTCCAGAAACTCGTCGGCGACGTTCTTAGCCTTGAAGTTGGGCCCGGCAGATCCGAACTCGGTGAAGTAGAGCGGGTTGCCGTCGTCGTAGTAGTAGTCGATCTTGAGCTTGGAGATGAGCTTGACAAGGGGGTTGTAAGAGGTGCCGTGCATCCAGGCGGCTCCTGTGCGGTGTTAGTTTGTCAACTCGAGAAAGAAGGTACGCCGAGGCGGGCTGGATCTTCACCCCATACAAGTCCCTACACAAGCGGGGAACACCCGTCCTATCAAGATCAATGTACAGCAAGTTACCTTCCATCCATACTCTCTACAACCCACCCATATCAATGTTGTCGGCATCTTCATGATCGGTTAGAATGCGTCCACCAATACGATCTCGGGCTTCTAGTACGACGACAACGAACCCTTTGGCAAGAAGATTTGAGGCTGCACAAAGTCCAGAAATACCGGCGCCTACGACAACTACCTTCTTTCTGGCATTGCAACTGTGAGTGACACTGACGTTGTCCATTTTGAAGGTTGTTTTGAGTGGCAATTTTGTCGATTTGATGTTGAGTTTGGACGACGAAAATTTCAGAAAGCCTTGAAATTCAAACACCTAATATACTTTATCAAGAACCCTTCCATGTCTGAGGTCGGGTTGCGCAACGACACAATAGAAACACTTGATCAAGTTTGCTTCTGAGCGGGCCCGCTATTCTCGGGGCCGAGATTCGTCACGAATGACTCACATGGGTCCGCAGTGGTCGATTTACATGCCTGTTACGGCACCTCTTTGCCGGTTACTCACCAAAATAGTTTCGCCCAATGCTTCACGGGGCAAACTATGTGTCATGGACCACAGAAGATGTATTTCATGACCACGTTTGTTCGTTGGTAGACCAATTGGCAAAGCGCAATCCCACTTGGTGTATTACGAAAGGCGTAAGTGGCGTAAGAGGCGCGAAGAGCGTGAACGAGAGGAACTCAATGGGAAATTCAAGACAACGCGATGAATGTATCGAAGTGACATCCTGCGCACAGATCGAACCTTCAGAAAGCCATTGGATAAAATTATCTTAAACCCACACACTTCAATCGAGTATCAAGCCATGGCTGTCGGGCTTGTCTATCGAACGGTCCAAACAATTGTTCGCTCGTTTGTAGCCAGCAGTTGAACAGCATATGAGGCCGTCCGTTTCTCTGGCGCTAGAGCGACTACTGACTTTTCCCGTGAGCTCAGATATTCCCCCTATTACTATCATTGTTACCATCGGAGTCGTCATCGCTTCTGTTGTTGTTCTTGTTATCGTTGTAATTATTGTCAGTGTTGTTGTTACCATTGCTGTCGCCATCGTCGTCTCTTGTATAATGTATTCTTAGGACTTCTGCTGTCGCCCTCAAGCGAGCTAGGTGAGCAGCCAGGGAGATCAGGCGGTCTCTTGCAAACGTAAAAATTTCTATTGGTTGCTGAGTGAATGTTATCGAGCGCAACGTCTCTATTATGCCCATTTTCCTTCGTAAATTGGGGAACGCGAGTCATAGTGGAATCCCCCCCTGTAGTAAAATGGGATGCAGACCTTCGAATAGCAAACCAAGGGACTTAGTGAGAAACTCCATCGAGACGTGTGAGTTACGGGTTATTGTACAACAGCGACAATTTGGACCACAAAAGGCCAGGCATAGACTCAACTCTCATCTGACCTGCTCAGGCGCTTCTATTCCAAGACGCTCCCACTACAACAAGATATGGAACCATCTACAACTTGTTAATCCACTCCTCGGAGCTAGTCACATTCCCAGTCCAAGAAAAGACCTTCGTCGTCAGAACGCGATGCACCTCCTCGTCTCGATCCATGCATAAGTCTTCCAAAACCGTAACATCGTAATCCCGATCAAATGCCTCGCGAACCGTCGACAGAACGACTCCACTGGTCGCAACTCCCGCAATAGCCAGATTCTTCACCCCCATACTCCTCAGCACAACCTCCAAATCGCTGTTGTAAAACGCCGAAATACGCGGTCGGTTGATGACAATCTCACCATCCCTCGGTGCGGCTTCCGCAACAAAATTCTGCCCCTCCTTCTGTTGGCCTTCAATGTGCACGAAGTCGTCTGTGGAGGAGATCCGGGCCCAGAACGGGTTGGTGCGGGGGACCTCGGGGTATCCGGGGCGGAAGTGGATCGTGACGTGGATCACCGGTATGTTCTTCTCGCGGGCCGCCGCAATGCCGCGGGATACGCGGGCCAGGTACTCCTCTCTGCCGGCCTCCGGCAGTCTGTTGACAATATTGTGGATCAGGTCCATCACGAGGAGGGCCGTGCTGTTTGATGAAGCCATGGCGGTGGATATTGAGGGTGAAATAGAGTTTGCCTGTCGGATAGTGTGGGATATTGCTTTTTGCCGGTAATGAATCGCGCCTTTGTGAATTTGGATTTTGAGATGCTTCAAAATATCTCAAAAGTCTCATGGTTGCTGCCAAGACGTCAAAGTTTTATACATGATGATGCCGGAGTTTATTATTAGATTAAATCCGCATGCCTCTAAAGTCCGTCATCGCCGTCGGTGGGTTAGATCTTACGTTTGGGCTCCGACTTCACAACTGCAAGTGGTCAGTGCGTTGGACCCTCGATGAGTGAATCTCATTTTCCCCTTTCCAACTCATCGTTCGGGCCACGAAATGTGCGACACCGAGTGGGATGGACGATCGTATATAAAAGTAATCACCCCGAACTCTGGGGCCCAGCGTTGCAGGCATGCCTAATCCTGGAACGGCGCTACGGCGATTCTTGAAGTCTCCTGTCATCGGGACGACCGGGAGTCAGTGCTTAAGTAACTCAGGGCCATCCATAACAAACCTCTTATCACAGAAAAACACCATTGCAAGAGTCAAGACCTTGGCAGCTGAAGTCGTGATGCCCGCAGTGAAACAATCACTTCGGCGGAATGCATGTCCCACAGCAACAGACCGATCTAGTACGACAGCCACCAACGTACCACAAGCACGCGTCCATTCCAGTGCAAACACAACGCCCTCGCCAGCATCACACACACAACGCCATCAAACGAACGACCCCCATTTCCGACAACCCGGAGCCTCAATGCCCATTCCCTGTCGACCCAGTCTAGGCACCAATTTAGACCACTATATCTGAGTTGCCCTGTCTGCCAAGGTCACCCCCCGTAGACAAAAGATCCCCAAAAGATCCGGAATGTGCTCCACCGAGAGTAACCTTACCACACATGGCCAAACGGAACAAATACTGCGAAGTCGCCTGTTGAGGCTGACGGAACGTCCTCGACTCCTTCACCACGTTCGTTTCCACACGCTCATTTCCACACTCACTTTCCGTCGTCTTCGTTGCGACAGCCACTCCTTACAAACATGAAGTTCTCTCTGGCGCTCCTTCTCGCGCCGCTGGCCCTCGCCACGCCCCTGCGCATCGCGACCACCCACGAGCACGCCCACCATCTCGCCGAGCGCCAGGCCGCCGTCAGCATCGACACTCTGTTCAAGGCTAAGGGGAAGGGCAAGCTGTTTATCGGCGTCTCCGGCGACAATGGCATCATGCAGCAGGGCAAGACCGAGGCTATCATCAAGGCCAACTTTGGACAGGTCACGCCCGAGTACTCGATGAAGTGGGATGCGACGGAGCCCACGCGGGGCAAGTTCTCGTGGGAGAACTCGGATTTCCTTGTAAACTGGGCGACGAATAATAGCAAGTCTATCCGTGGACATACGCTGCTGTGGCACCAGGCCCTTCCCACGTGGGTTTCGGCGATCAGGGACAAGAAGACCATGACCAGTGTTTTGCAAAACCACATCAGCACCGTTGTTGGCCGTTACAAGGGAAAGATCAGGTCCTGGGTATGTGGTTCTCTTATCCAGGTTTTCATATGCATTTGCTCACTAAGCCGGACATGAAGGATGTCGTCAATGAGATCTTCAACGACGACGGCACGTTCCGCAACACCACCTTCTTCAACGTTCTGGGCGAGTCCTACGTCGGCATCGCCTTCAAGGCCGCCCGCGCCGCCGATCCCACCGCCAAGCTCTACATCAACGATTACAACCTCGACAACAAGGACTGGGGCAAGCCCGCTGCGGTGGTGAAGAAGGTCAACCAGTGGATCGCGCAGGGCATCCCCATCGACGGAATCGGTATGCTCTTGAGTAGGAAGTGATCAAAAGTGGACATGAACTGATGGAAACGCGAAACAGGCTCCCAGTGCCATCTCGCGCAGAACATGTCGAGCAAGATCCAGGGTGCGCTCGAGTTGCTGGCGACCGCCAAGGTGTCTGAGATCGCCATCACTGAGCTCGACATCAACAATGCCCCGCCGGCGCAGTACGCCGAGGTCGTGAACGCGTGTGTCAACGTGCCCAAGTGCCGCGGCATCACGGTGTGGGGAGTTAGCGACAAGGTAAGAGGAACGCGCCTCACCGGATCGGCAAAACCAGCTAATATCTTTGTAGCAATCTTGGCAGGCTTCCGCGAAGGTTCTGCTGTTTGACGAGAACTGGAACCCCAAGCCGGCGTACAACGCCATTGCGGCCGCGTTGAAGAAGTAGGCGTGTAAATGCGGATGGCTAAAGCCGGGACTCTGTACATGAATGCCTTACACATATTTTATGAGAGACGTGGCAGACTCGCGCAGTTTTGATCATGGTCTCATCCCACTTAGATATATAGTTCAACATCGGAGGATTGCTATGCTTCGAGCCGAGTATTTCTACAACAAGCCACCGTTGCTTCACACCTACAAACTTTTCGCAATTTTGTACATCTACGGAACCTGTTTACATGGAAGATCAATGATGACCCTGAAAGGCCAGGAAAGCATGATTCTGGCTGTAGTTGGACTAAATAAGATTACCCACATGGGTCCCTCTTCTCGAGGTTTGATGTATTTCTGTGGGCCGCTTGTTCTTGATATCAGTATTAAGGAACCAAGTCCATCGAAGATGACAAAAGAAAGCAGCCGTCAATACAATCTTACATTTTCAGAACTCGTTTCATCTAATGAAAATTCTCTTATGCAAAATCTCTAAATCCTGGCTAAGGAAATCATGTAAGTTTTCAGCAAATCGGATATAGAGACCGCAGTTCACCGATAATTGCAGGAGGGATATCTGGATGAAACATTACACACTATGTTCTGGGAGACCCCCTAACTTTTCTGTGTCTAGGCGGCTACTTCCTGTGTTCGTGGTGACTTTCATGAGGAGGACGACGGAGGACGATGGCAATAGATAACGAACATAGAAAGCGATGCTAATAACGACGATGACGACGACAATTAACATAGATAGCAATAGTAGTAACGATAATAGCGAACATAATAGCAGTAATTATAGCGAACACAGGGGAAAATTAATCGCTCTGGTACAGGAAAAATAGGAGTTCTGTATTCTTGCCTCAAGTGACCTTGTGAATCCAAAATAATGACCCTTCTGGTTCATTCTTTTGGCCAACGTTGCTATTATTCAACCAGATCGTGATCGTGCAAGTTTAATGTCACTTTCCACATTCCTGCAGGACCTGGGATAACATGGTCAAGGCAGGGTAATAATAAGGACGATTTGCCCAGATATGTACAACTAACCACTCGGACAAAATGAACCTGGCCGAAATGCCACCATATCCATTGCTCATACTTGAAACTAAGAGCCATGAGTGCAATTGATAGATCTACCAAAAGACCAGTCTTTAGTCTCAGCACAAAACTTCTTCAGACCCAACATCAAAGTGTCATCATCACGAACCACAGACCCGGCTAATCCAGCCAGCCAAACAAACCCAAACCTGCCAAAGGACACTCATCCTCAAAAGGCTGCCGTCCATCCCGCCAATATGTGCGGGGACGAAACATCAATTAGAACCTTTCCAGAACTCAGAGCTTTTATCCTAGCAGTCTTCTTTCTTCTTCTTGACATCATCCTGTCTTGGCGGGATATGCTCCAACGCGCAGAAGAAACCACGAAGAAACATCTCGAGGTCCCGCGTTCTGCTCTATAATTCTACACCTGGCCGGCTATCGCCTCGAGCAACAAAGACCACGCCTCTTTGGCCCCCAAGACATGCCGTCCCCCTTGACCATCACGCTCAGACTGTCTTGCCAACACCGTCGCCCAAGCTCCTCCTTCGCTCAGAACATCCCAGGACCCCGTTGTGACCCGAGCTCGTAGAGTTTGTCCAGTTTGGCGCGGCATCAATTGACCAATGACATTTCACCCGTCTGCAGGAAGGGCGTGGAGGGTTGATCATTTGTCACACCAAGACCACTGTCGATCCTTTCTCCTCCTGCGTCTGTCACAGCAGCCCACCTGGTGATTTTTTCAAAGTTGGCTTATCACAAATGCTGGCGCAGGTGATTGGTTGATTGCTCTTCATGCCACTGACAGACTCACTCACGATGGGAGGAAGGCAAACTCATTCGAATATTTGGAGGAAGACAGTTGCACAATGGCTTTAGCGTCTTGAGAAGCCTAACACAAAGCTCGCGAGGTGAGTGTCGATGGTTCGGCTGCACGGTCCCGGGCCCTTGACTCCTTGTACGATTTTGATAAGTGCAACTCATAACCATTCCATTACTCATGTCGCATCCTGGTAATCCGTAAATGTACAAGCCTGATTTAAGATACCCAGCTGCCCCTCGAGGGCATGGCGGTCCGCTTGGCGGCAGCCTTTCTATTCCAATACCAACCATCTATCATCGCGCCGTCAGACATGCGTCCTACTTCGCCTGTTGCGCCCTCAAAGCGTCTACTTCACGCTGCAGCGCATCCAAATCGGCAAGAATGTCTGCACCTTTGCCAAAATTGGCCTCATAACCCTGTGCCAGGTCCTCTGTCCCTGGCTCTTCTGGCACGTTCGTGCTAAATCCTCTCGTACTGTCAACGCTTGGCCTTCTTACATAATCCATGCTTCCGCGACTGCTTCCTCGTTGTCGAGGTGGAGGCGGTGGAGGAGCCCCCTCTTTTCCGCCGCTCACCTTCCTGCTTGTGGCGTCAAAACTTCTCACGCTTGGGGGACGGCGTGTCGAAGTATTTCGTGCGGGAGGTGGTGGAGGCGGAGAGATCTTTGGGGGAGTGTTACCTGACGCAGTGTTCTCAAGGTCGGAGGGTACAGGGCTGAACGAGGCCGCTGACGGTGAAGCTTGGAACGACTGGCGATGTGATGCATTCGGTCGTCGAGGTGGCGGGGGTGGCGCAGGGGCATTGATACTCCGGAAACTCTCCGACCGTGAGCGCTGCGATTCCATCGAAGACCGAGGCGGCGTATCGGCCTCATTGCCCGCCTTGCTCGGGGCATTGGCCCCGGCGGACGCCGTGAGAGACTGGCTCCGCGCGTGGCCCCGTCGTGGCGGGGGTGCTGGCGTTGGTTTTTTTGCCGACGCCGACGTGGCCGGGGTGGGTGTCGAACTGGGAGTGGGGGAATCCTGATCGGGGATCTTGCCCGCGGCCTCTCGGGCAAAGACATCTTCCGTCCCCTCCCCACCATACGAGCTGGGAGCCGGGGGGAGGGGCTTGTTCACATCGGACGGAGAGATCGGCGATGCCGTCTCAGATGAGATGTGAGGTCGTTCTGGCGTCTGAACGCTAATCTTCCTTCCATGCCTGGAACTTGGCGGAGGGGGCTTTCTCTTCGTCGGAGGTGAAGCAAGGATGATACCGCGGTCCGCGATGTCCGTCGATGACCGGGGCGTCTCCGCGAAAGACGTATCTGATCCGGACGCATTTGCGGCCTCTGCAGCCTTGTCGCCTTGAGATTGTGCCTTGTGAGCCGGCATTCCAGCTCCAGGTTGGCCGGTAAGTAGCAGCATCTTGAACGCATTGACGTCGAGGGATTTGGCTGCCCCGCCAGACGGGGCCTTTCCGTCCGTCAGGCCTTCCAGATCCTGCAACGTCTTACCAAAGGGGTTCTCAGGCGTATGGTTGGGGACGGCGTTGGCGATGCGCAGCGGCGCAGCCTCAGGAAGGCCGTCGGGAAGCTCGGGAAACCTCTTTGAGAACTGGTCGTCATCATCGTCTGAGCCGTCGTCGCTACTGTCGTCTTGACGTCCAAAGCCTCTACTGTGCACCGATTCGGGGGAGGAAGGCGAGGAGGGCGGCGGAGACAACACCCTTACCCTTTTGACAACCTTGGCTTTCGCGGGTCGAACCTCGGGAGGCGAGGGAGCGTTATCCCTCGAGATTCCGGATGTAATGGATTCGAGAAAGGCAGATGTGGTGACAGGCTGAGGGGTAGAAGAGAAGGAAGTCGAGGTGGTCTTCCTGCGGAAAGGGTTGTGTTCGGAGGCCATGGTTGCGGCGGGCGGTGGTTCGGGAAGCGCGGAGTGGGTTTAAGTCGTGCAAGAAATGTCGAGGCAAGTATTAGGCAGCCGCCATCGTCAACTCCCGAGGGAAGGACGTAATCGCCAGGATGACGCTGTGTACGTAGGCAACAGCGAGATGGAGGATTTCCGGCGTGGAGAGAGAGGAATTCGATTATGGAGCGGTACTGTTGGACGAGGGGAGGAGCTGGAGGGTCGGATTGGTAACTGGAGGGGGTTCGGGGACTGCGGGCGGTGTCAGTCGAGGCGGCCGGAAGAATCGGTAGGGAGACAGTGCAATCGCGAGGCGACGGAGTTTTGGATTTTGGGGTCGGGATGACGGGCAGACCAAGTGGGAAAACGGGGGCCATTCTCTGCTTACCTGCAATGTATCTAAGCAACGGGGATTCGAGCGTTAGAAATGTTGGCAGCAGACGGATATGCGACAGCAGACGACAGAGCTGTGCCCGACGGCGGCAGCGGGACTAATCGGTCGGTGGTCGACGTAGAGCAGAGACCTGAGAACTGCTGGCTGGGTGGTGTCTGGTGTCTGGTGTCTGGAATCAATTGCTTGGTATCTGGTATCTGCTGAGGTGAGGTATTAAGGTATAGCCGGTGGAAATTGGTGGTGGTGTAGTGGCAGTGCTGGCTGGTGGTGGCCGTCTCGACGTCGTTGGGTTGGCTTGCGATCAGGTCGGCCGGCTTCTTTTGGGCGGTGGGAGACAAGATTGGACAGGAGGAGGGGAAGCTGGTTGGATGACGGCCTGGCCTTCTCTCGTTTTGGGGGGGGGGCCGCCTGGGATTTGAGCCAGGGAATATTGGAGCAGGGGGGGCCAGAGGCAGAGTGCGAAGTGCGAGGGAGATACGGATAAGGTAGGCGTAGAGTCGCAGCAGCTATCAGTATTTGCTTATCGCAGGTACTAGTATCTGTAGGGCGGACGATGCAGATGATGGACGAAGGGAGGTAATAAGCGGGCAGGCACGTAGGGTAAGGTAGTGTAGGGTGCCTTGCTGGGAAGCGGGTGGTAGCGAAGCGACAGACGGCGGACCGGCAGACGGTGGTGATTGACGACACTTTTGATGGGACCTGGGTGGGGGAGGATGATGAAATCCCTCCACGTCCACGTCCACGTCGATGCCGACGACTCCTTCCTTCCTCTGCAATTCACATACTTTCGCAATTGCATGAGTTGGTCACGTCCACCAGTCTTGGATCCTTGATGCCCACTTTCCTCAAGTTGCAGAATTGCAGTTTCT